TACTGCCAAGAGCTGCTGTCTTCTTTGAAGAGGAGGGTGGAGAACCCTTGGCCAGATGTCTGGTGGGAGCCCAAAGGGATCATAGGATGTGCCGGGGGTAGGGTCAGGGCAGTCAGTTCAGGGTCAAGGGCTGAGTCGCGCTCTAGAAATCCTGAAGAAGGTTGGGTAGGACACAGGCGGTAAGAATAGGTCAGTGTATTGGCCTCTTGACTGCTCTTCATCTGAAGTACGATTGCCTGGGGTCGCTACGCCAGGCTTCAAGCTAGGTACAGGCTTAAAGCAAAGATTCGTGCATAACCCCTCACTGCTGGCTGACACCTGCGCCCCAGACGCTGGGCCAGGGTCCAGGGTCAGGGCTAAGGAGATTCACAGGGGAAGGGTGATGGGACCACAGAATGATGAGGGTTGTTTGAGACACTGTGGGTGGGCACACGCTGCTCTGGGGGAGGGACTCGGGGCATGTGGGATGAAGAAGATGGGGTGCTCTGTGACTTACTGTCTGCCTTCAACCCACAGGCCCCTTCCCGGCCGGGCTGGTGCCAGCAATTGTGACCCTGGCAGTCCGACCGTCTGCTGCCTGGCCCGGCCTCCTAGCCCCTGTTGTGCCTCTGATTAGTTGGCTTGGCAGTGGCAGGGCAGCAGACGGCTTCTCCTTGCGCTCAGCACCTTCCTCTCCTGGCTGCTCGGTGCTCTTGGCCAACCTGGCCAGATCAGAAAGTATGCAGCCTTGGGGGCCGGGCCACAGCCATGGCACACCTTTCTCCCTCTGCTTTCCCCCCACCCCGGCAATGGGTTGTGCCCCTGACTGAGGCTGGCACATGTCCTGTGATTTCTGCTTGAACTGGCCTGGTAGAGTGGCCGAGCTAATCTGGCCTGACAGCCCCTGTCTGTGGAGCACCTTGGGCCTGGAGAGGAGATACCGGCTAGGAAGTGAACCTCCCTCTTGCCATCTCATCCGTGGCCACCAAGGGACCTTCCAGCTTCTCTTGCAGCGGAGGACCTGCTCGGGGTCTCCATCTCTTAGGGTTGGGGTGGAGCTGTTGTAGTCATTTCCCTGCCTGGAACCTGTCACTATGGTACCAGTTTTGATGCCATCTAGACCATCTACCCTGAAGCTACTCACGTCACATTCCTGGACCAGACCCTTCTTTCCTGAGCCCAGTGGGGGAATGGGGCGGACTGGAGGGGGAGACAGGGAGGAAGTGGGAGTGGCTTGTCTCTTAAAGGGACAGAGCAGAACATTATTTTTATTATTTAATTTTAGTTAATTAACTTTTGGGGGGTGAGGTTTCAAGACAGGGCTTTTCTGTAGCTTTGGAGCCTGTCCTGGAACTAGCTCTTGTAGACCAGCCTGGCCTCGAACTCACAGAGATCCATCCCCCTGCCTCTGTCTCCCAAGAGTGCTGGGATTAAACGCATGCACCACCGCCACCTGGCTTAGTTAATTAACTTTTGAGATAGGGTTTTCCTCTGTAGCTCAGGCCGGCCTAAAATTTGAGGTACTCTTCTTCCCCTCAGTCACCCTAAGCAGAAGAATTACAAATATTTTTCATCAATCCAACCTCATCTGGTTTGATATTTTTTTAAAAGCTGATGAGTCCGTGGGGCCCAGAGCAGTGTATGGTGGTGGGAGGCCTCTTGTGTAGTAGCTGTGGAGGGGGAACATCCATTTACCTATGACTCTTTCTTTAAATCTGTTTACTTTTGTCCTTATGGGCCTTCTGTTTGCATGTATGTCTGTGCACTGTGTGTATGCCGAATGCCTAGAAAGGCCAGAGTGGGCATCAGATCCCGTGGAACTGGAGTTTCAGATGGTTCTGACCTGGTATGTGGGTTCTGGGTTCTCTGGAAAAGCAGTCTGTGTCCTTAACTGCTGAGTCATCTCTCCAGCCCCCACCATTAGTCTTTCATTCTTTGCCCTGTTGTCTCCTGGAGGGGCTGTTGCTCTGGGCAGGATCCAGGCAGGACTGGGGAATGTGGGCCTTGCATGCAGACTTGCCTGGGTCCCGAAGCTAGATCCAGAACAGAGGAGGACTGAGCCTAGGGAAGTCATTCAGGGTGGTAAGCATTTTACAAAGGAGGAGTGGGCTCAAGTCAGGTATCAGCCCATTCCCAGGACAGAGAGAACCAGGGGAGTGAGATGCCCTTCTGAGTATGTGCTAGCCAGGAGGGAAGCAGGAAACTGGGTCTGTAGTGGCATGGGCCAGGCCTGCCTCCAGGAGTGGACCCACAGCCATCCTCACAGGAACGTTTGGAATGGGCTGTGGGCTGAGCTGTAGAAGATGTGTGTGCGTGTGTGCATGTGTGTGTGAGTGCGCGCACGCGTGTGTGTATGTATGTATATATACAAGCTCTCAGATCAAATACATGTGCACACATGGGACCGGCCTGCCTATAAATGAGGCTCCTACAGCAACCGTGGCCCCAGAGGCATACACCCAGCTGGGACCAGAACTTCACTCTTTATCTGGTCTGTGATGGATCTACATCAGATGTCCTGCATCCTCTGTCTCTTACTGACTGGGGAACAGGTCCTGAGCTACAGTCTTGGGGCCAATGGCTCCTGATCCAGGCTTATGGCGCCCAAAGAAAGCCCAGCCTAAGAGAGAGAGATTGTGGTTGGGGAGGGGGTAGCAATGCTAGAGGATGCCACTTTTGACCAGGTATGGCGAGAACCCAGGAAGGCTGCCTGGAGGAGGAGAAAGCATGTCGAGAGAGAAGTCCCATGCACCTACCCTTCCCTCAGGCCCCCTTTCCCATGTCTTCTTACCCAGGTCCCCCTTCTCTGTCTTCGTTTCTTTCTGCTCTTCTGTTTATGTCTCTGTTTTTGCTTCTTCTCACCTCTTCTTTCTCATGTGCCTTGCACTAGGGCACTGGAGGAAGAGCATCAGTGTCCTGCCAGTCTTGGCTACTTACTATACCGAGTGTGTAAAAGAAGGTTTATCCAGGTTCCTCAGGGCCTTGCCTGACTCCTAATCCTGTAGTCTCAATTCCCTGGGCAGCCATGGATGAATTCAATTTGTGCTAAATTCATAATTACCTAATTACACCTTGCCTCTGTAGCCCTGGGACTCCCCAGGCCCTGAAGAGCCCTGGGAGGGAAGCTGGGCCCCTGGGCAGAGGGGAACGGAGGGAAAGGGCTGCTTTTCAGGGAATGGAACAAGCAGCTCAGAATCTCAATATCCTGGAGAACAAGGGAAATGTAATTAATTGAGCAACAAAGGCCACCCTTGGGAGCAGCCAGGAGTAGTCAGGCTGGCGTGGTGCTAGTGAGTTGCGGAGTGAGGGGAGCCTGTGGCCTCCTCAAGGCAGTTCTGGTCCAGCCTTCTCTCCATCAGCTGCCTCTGCGTGGACCCTAGGACTGCATTTCCCAGAGTTCAGGGCGACTCAAGGGCTGTGCCTGCTCCGAGATCTGCCGATGACAGTGGCCCAGGTCTCTACAGTAACCCCAGGTCTGTCTCCAGACTGCTCTGTGTGTTCACAAGCTATACTTCTTCTCAGCTCCCCCTGGCAGATTCTTCACATCCTGTAGGGCCCAGCACTACCGCATCCTCCCTACAAATGTGTCCTTGGCGGTGGTCCTTTTGCTCAACACTGCTGTCCCTGACCCCTGCTGCTGGGCTGTGAGCTCTGAGGGGGAATTCTCAGCATTGCGGTGACACTCTACTGCTTGATAAATGCATGCCTGCATGCATGCATGCATGGATGAATGATTGCGATCCCAGAAAGGCCTGAAGTTGGCTGATTGGAGTCCTTTGGTCTGTTTTGGGGAGCATGCAGTAACCTGTTTTGTTTTTTGTCTCCCCCAGTATGTACCCCTTGTTTCCATGTTGGGGTGGATATAAAGCAATGGGGTGCTGAGCCTTGGCTCTGGCTGTTCTCAGTTGGATGATGCAGCCTGCCAGGGAGCCCCAGTGCTTTTCCTGAGTGGACTCTGACCTAGTTTTGTGGGGAGGAAAGATGGGGGTGGACATTAATTATTGATTGGAAATTACTCCACGCTGAGTGTGTGATGCAAATCCACGATAATTATCCTCATTAATAACTACCTCAGCATCTCACTGGGGTAAATCACAATCCAACAGGACCAACTCTCCTACTTGTCATTCTTTACTCCTCCCCCTCCAACCTTCCTCTCTTTTCCAGTCTTGTTCACGAGCAGGCATCCAACAAACGTTGACGCTTATCTTGCGGATTAGGCCCCGATGGCTTCTGGGAATACTGAGGCGATTCAGACACAGACCCTGTCCCCAGGACAGGAAGGCAGACAGATAAATATTCCTTAGGGTCAGATGTTGATTCAAATAAGCCCTCTCAGGGTTGTATAGCATACAAACTTAACTGTACAAGGCGGCCTAGGCTAGGAGCTGTGGAGATTGCCTAGAGCAGGGGAGTAGAGGGTTGGACGAGAAAAGGTCTGGATCACTCTGCAGAATGAGATGTCTCAGGGCTGGCTATGGTGAATGAATAGGTGTTTGATAGGGTACTTAAAGAAGAGCCATCAGCAGAGGTAAGAGGATTGGTCATAGGAATAGGGCTAGACTCAGTATTGGGCCACAGTTTGAATTCGCATCCTTCTGTTTCTTAGCAATGGGTCTCCAGCCTGTTCTTTGAATCTCCTGTACGAAGCAGAGACACCATTGCCAGTCTCAGGTGGTTACTGTGAAGGCTGAAGGAGAGCCTGAACAGACTCTCCATGTGCTCTAACTGTGCTAAACAGCTAAACATGCTCTTGTGCACAGCCCCACGAGAGCACTCGTCACCTGAAAGAGGGCTCCATAAATGTCTGCTGCTTCACCCAGGATCTCATGGAAGTGCCTCAGGGCCCAGAGCCATTTTCCTGACTCTGTGGGTGCAGGGACAGATATGGACGAGTGAGGTGTCCTCTGGCAATCCCAGCAGGAGCAAGAGACTCCATCTCTCCTCCAGCCATCCCTTCCGCTTTTTGACCTGTTCTCTTGGCTTCTCTGATGCCTCCTTCTCTGCCGTTCCTCTCCCAGGCATGCGGATCCTGGTGAACCTCCTGCTCGACACGCTGCCCATGCTGGGCAATGTGCTCCTGCTCTGTTTCTTCGTCTTCTTCATCTTCGGCATCATTGGCGTGCAGCTGTGGGCGGGCTTGCTGCGGAACCGCTGCTTCCTGGAGGAGAACTTCACCATGTGAGTTTTCTACCCTGTCTGAATTAGGCTTCCTACTGCTGTGATCAAACACTGAGACCAGAAGTGCCTTGGAGAGAAAAGGGTTTGTCTCATCTTACAGCTCATAGTCCATCATCCAGGGAAGTCAGGACAGGAAGTAAGGTAGGAACCTCTGGCAGGAGCTGATGCAGAGGCCATGGAGGGCTGCTTCTTACTGGCTTGCTCCTTGTGGCTTGCTCAGCCTGCTTTCTAATAGAGTTCAGTACCGCCAGCCCAGGAGTGGTAGGCTCCACACTGAGTCCTCCACATCAGTCATCAGTAGAAAATGTCCTACATATCTGCCGACAAGCCAATCCGATGGAAACATTTTCTCATTAAGATTCCCTCTTTTCAGAAGACCCTAGCTTGTGTCAAGGTGCTATAAAAAACTAGCCAGCACCCCTCACTCCTACCCTCATTCCCACCCTTCTCTGCTCCTGTTGACTCTGACCCACCTCTTACTAACTCATTTGCTAACTGAGAATCAGGCCAGCAAAATAGGAATGGCCAGTTTGGGAAGGCTGGATAGGAAGAGAGAGGGAGGTCTGGATATTGAAAAGGATAGAAAGTTTCAGAGCCCAGAACCCAAGGAGGTGTGTGTGTTGTGTGTGTGTGTGTTGTGCATGTGTGTTGTGTGTGTTGTGCATATGTGTTGTGCGTGTGTGTTGTGTGTGTTGTGCGTGTGTGGTGTGTGTGTGTGTGTTGTGCATGTGTGTTGTGTGTGTGTGTGTGTGTTGTGTGCCACCACAGGATCAGCTCACAACCTGCTGCTGGGTCCAGAGTGGGAGCCAGGTACCCCCAAGGCAGAATGTCAATATCTGCTTAAAAGACAGGTTTAATTTCTGAAAGCGATGTCTTTAGAATCCCTTCTTTCTAAGTGATGAGGACTACCCAGTGCATGTGCACACTCTATGCGATTGGAAGAAAGCTTTCTACAAGCCATTGGGCTGCTGCTGCTTGCCAGGCTCCAGGGAGGCGGAAATGAAATAGCAACCGTGTCTGGTTTATCCTGGCAGATGTACCCAGGGTCTGCCCTTAGTTGAGCTAGGGCACCCATAGGGAGCATCAGGCTAGGGTTGGTTGCTCAGGCTCTTCTGGATGTGTGGAGTAGGGACACTGCCTAAGTTGGGGTCAGTTTCCTTTTTCAGGGTTCAGAATGTTAGGTGTAATGCAATGTAATGGGAGGTAAAAGTTGTTTAGGGACATTGCTATGCTGTGGGGAATGGTGGGGTACCTGGGTAGGCCAGGGAAGGGACACCTTGCTGGGTGAGGGCCCCATGGATAGTGGAAGAGGGCCTTTTCCACTTCTGTGAGCACTCAACAGAGACCAGTAGTCAGGGGCAGGAAGCGGGGAAGGCTTCACAGAGTAGCATGTGTGTGAGCTCTTGGCGTTGAGTGTTGCTAGCACATCCATGCCCCCTCCTGTCCCATGTGGATCTTTTACAGCATTCTGTGACTGGCCCTGTCATGTCACAGACATGCTCAGCCTTCATGTCACCTTCTGCCGGAGGATCACTTTCTCGTCCCCAAGCAGTGGACACACTCTCTGCTAAACTTCTTTGTTGGCTGATCTTCTCCTGCAATGGTCCCATTTGTCAGCTTGAGGATTTGGGAAATCTCTGGAGCAGTTGCATATTTGGTCTTGGGGGGACCCTCGGATGTGAGTTCTCCCCAAGACCAGGAATCGTTGGTCTTCACTGTTTTCTCAGGACCTGAAACAGAGCCCTAATTTCTTCACTATGAATGAATGAGGGACTGTTAAGATGATAGCATGAATGAGATCATGAATGAATGAATGGATGGATGGATGGAGAGTGAATGAGTGAATGAGTGAATGCGAACACTGCACAGAGGCGGGCTGGGAAGAAGGCTGGTTCTCCTTGGCTTTGCAGCAGGAGAGTCTATGTGCTGGTTAGAGGTTGACTGTTTCCTTGTCCTGTCCAGACCCTGAGAAGTGGCTTCAACCCTGCTTTGGCTAAGATGGGGGAAGATGGGGGCACAGAGCTGTGGACGTGCCTGGGCCTCAGTGTTAAAGGGGCCCAGTGTGTAGCTGGTCCACCTGGAAGAGGAGCTCCAAATATGAGCGGAGCGAGGGGACCGTAGGGCAAGGCTGGGGGACTCCCCTGAGCTCTGAGAGCTCATGCTCTCAGGACAGGGGGCCTTGACTTACAGGCCTCACTGGTAGAGGCTGACCATACTTCAGGCATGGGAAGAGAGCAAGGCCAAGGGTGTGACAGAGCCTTCCACCATTGCTGTGCAGGTGGGGGACTGAAGCAATGGAGTCGGAACTTCAGGGTCAAATTCTGCTTCTGCCACCTGCTAGCCATGTGGCTTCTGCAACTTCGTTCCTCAGTGTCTCTACCGCAGAGTTGTTTTGGGAATGCCCCCAAATTAGAAAATGTGGAACGTTAGGATGGTGTCTGACCTCACGAAGCACTGAGCAGGAGTGAGCCATTGTATGACGTCATGTGTGTTCCTCTAGCCTGGGAAGTTCCGTGTGTGTGTGTGTGTGTGCACGCACACATGCGCGTGTGCATGCGTGTGCGTGAGACCGTTTATTTATTGGGAAGGCACTGGAATGGCACCTGCAATCCTGGGTGTGTGAGTGTGAGCTCATCTCAGTCTGGTGCCACAGATGACGGATGGCAGCCCTAACTAAATGATCACTGAGTGGCAAGGTGGGCCTGGATCTGGTCTTGGAGAAAGACAGCTGGTGTTCACGGGTTTCTTGGTACACGCTGGACACTGTGCTCATCAGGACCAGTTTGGTTTCCTTCCAACATCCTGTGAGAGAAGCAGATTATTCTTATCTGCTGGCCTGTGGGAACGTGTTTATGGCCAGTGCACACATGTGTACATGTGTGTAGAGGCCAGAGGCCAATGTTTGGGGGTCTTCTTGATTGTGCTCCACCTTATTCTATTTTATTTTGAGACAGCGTCTCTCACTGAAACTAGAATTGACTGATTTGGCTGAAAGAGCTGGCTCGCAGACTCTGGGACCCTCATGTCTAACCTCCCTGGCACTGGGGTTATAGGCACAAATCACCATGACTGGTTTATATAAAGGCGGTGGGGATCTGAACTCAGGTCCTTATGCAAAGCAAGCGCTTGACCAGCTAAGTCTGGCAGCAGCAGAGCCCTGAGAACCCCAGGAGAGGGGCTCAGCCACACTATAGAGGAGGGAGGGCTGGGGGTGGGCAAGTGTGGGATCAGGGCTGGGCTGTCCATGCTATTGACTGGTCATCTGAACTGGTATCTGGGTGTAGGCTGGCCTCTGGCACAGCTGCCCTGGGGTTTCTGAATTCATGGAGTAGGGCTGGCAGAAGAGCACCAGGGGGAAGGCTGACAGGAGGGTCTTCAGTAATGGCAAGTGGTCATCACCTACAGATGGAGGTGAGCTCATCACTCCTTAATGCTAGCTGCACTGACCCCCGAGTCCTAGACCTTCCGAGTCTCTCCATCCATCACTTGTAGAGCCAGGGACACCACCTCCCGTCTGGGTTGATGTCCACAGTGAACTGGAAACCTTGAAGAATTGTGACTTTAAGATGTCTTTTGGTTTGCAGGAGTGATTAAATCCAAAAAAAGAACAGATTGAAACAAAAACTTTGCAATACACACATCTACCAGAGAACTCAAATCCAGGACATAAAAAGAATGACTATACACCGCTAAGAAAGCAAAGAGGATCCAATTAAAAATGGCCCAAAAGACCTTACCAGAGACCTCTCAAGGGGCTGCAGGAGTGGCGGATGAGTAGTTGAAGAGGCCCTTCTCCTTCCAGGTCTTAAGGGGGTTGTAATTGAAATGACAGTGAGGTACCACAGCACCCCACCAGGATGGTTTAAATGAGAAGGACCATTATTGCCACAGACACAGAGCAAGCGATGGATGTTCTGCTGTGCTCAGGGAGCTCTTGGTGGATCATCAGGGTGGTTTCAGGATGCATTGTGAAAGGCTGGACAGACCCAGTGCTAAACACACCCTTGGCTTGCCAGGTGGTACCCAGGGGCTTTGCTCAGAAGAAAGGCTTGCTGGATAGGGCCAATGGGGTAGCTCTACTGGCAGAGCATTATCTTAGCATGCATGAGGCTCCAGGGTTCAGCCTTCAGCACTACAAAGAAAAAAGAAAGTTACAGCCATTGAGCGTTAGCTGGGAGTGGTAGCTCACACCTGCAGTTCCTGTGTTCATGATGCTTTGGCAGAAAGACCTTAGGAAGTCAGTCACCTTTGCTTACAAATACCCCCCCCCATGTACATGTGCGTACACACACACACACACACACACACACACACACACAGAGAGAGAGAGAGAGAGAGAGAGAGAGAGAGAGAGATGACTTGTGCCCACTCAAGCATGTGGACAAGAGTAGTTCTGAATCATAAGGGCCCCATACCCAGAAATGACCCAAATTGACAGTTGGATAAGTAATAGCAGTGTGCTTGCTCACGCAGTGAACACACTCATAGGTAAGAGTCCCAAGGAGCGGCTGTTTAACTCTGTCTGCTAATGGTGTTTTTGAGCAGCAAAAACTTGGCCCCCAATCCCCTTCAGTTTTCTAATGTATTGAACTAATCTCAGAGCCTGAGTTCAGAAAAAAACATTCTCAAAAGATTTCTGGCTTCATCTTTCAGTCTGGCCTACTCTATCACAAAGAATTTTGCTTGTGGCGCATGATGGGTGCGGTGACGTCAGGGTTGATTTGTTTAATGCATATTCAGCCTTTCCAGAACCACGTGGGGGCATGGTCCGGTCATTCTGCAGGGGATCAAGGTGATGTTTGTATTAGAAGCAGGTGGTCGTGAACCTTTGTGGGGTTGGTTGTGACATTTTGATTGTTAAAGGACGTTGATGAATTGCCTTCCACAGGGGTGGTGCAGTTAATGCTCCCACCAACAGTGTGAGTGACTGTTTACGTTTTTCACACTTTGGTAGAGAACCTTGGGGTGACCATTCATATGAGAGGAGGCAATGTTGGTGTTATTTCTGTATGTTTTTTTTTTTTTGTTTTTGCTTTTGTTTTATGAGACAGGGTGTCTCTGTATCCTTGGCTGCCCTGGAACTTGCTATGTTGACCAACCAGCCTTGAACTTACATAGATCCTCCTGCCTCTGCCTCCTGAGTGCTGAGATTAAAGGCATGCACCACCACTACCCTAAACTTGATTGCTTTTTTCTCCTTCCTTCCTTCCCCTTTGTCTTTAATTAAATTAGATTAATATTTTTTGACACAGCATTTCCAAACAGGTGTACTGACATGTACCTATGTTCTCAGCACTCAGGAGGCAGAAATCACAGGATCTAGAGTTTAAAGTCATTGTTAGCTTTACAGAAAGTTCAAGGACAGCCTGAGCTACATGAGACCTGTCTCAAGCAACCAGCCAATCAAGAAAGGAAAGCATCGTGCCATTCAGTTCAGGCTGACCATGAACTTAACACTTATCCTAGACTAGCCCCAAACTCATAATCCTCCTGCGTCAGCCTCCTGAGTGTTGACTTTTGTGTTTGCCTTAAGACACATCTCTGTCTCTGGGTGTTGTGGTCTCCACTAAGGCCCCTGTTCTATAGAACAGCACATTAGACTCATTACTTGTCTCAGAGTCCTCCAGTTTCCACTTACCTTTTTATTTTGAAGCCCTGCCTGGATGGTTTTTCCTTGAACTGTCTAGCTGGGTTCCATAGCTAAGATCACAATGGGATATCATTTGTGATTGTGTGGTGGGCCAAGCTTATGACCAAGTATCATAGATGAGTTAATCCAGGCCCAGGGATGGAAGACACCAGTCCAGGGCCACACACTTCCTCATCTGCTGGTCAGCAAAATGCAGTGGCTGCTAGCTGAGTTCTTTCTCTGTCCTTTCCAAACACGGTGGCCTGGACCAGTCAGGAAGCTGGGTGGCATCTGTCCCAGGCCACTGTGTAGCTCAGGGAGCCCTGACTTAGCTCTGTGGAGGGGAGGATCCTCCGGGGAAGGTTTCTCAGAGGAGAGAATCGTGGAAAGGGATCACAGTAGACCCGTAGAGACTTTTGTGATCATAACGGAAGTGGGAGGCTTTGTGGTGGTGGTGCACACCTTTAATCCCAGGACTCGGGAGGCAGAGACAGGCGGATCTCTATGAGTTTGAGGCCAGCCTAGTCTACAAGAGCTAGTTCCAGGACAGGCTTCAAAGCTACAGAGAAACCCTCTCTCGAAAAACCAAAATAAAATAAGATAAAATAAGAAGTGGGAAAGAGTGTCTCAGGAAGGGACTACATGTTCCTGAGCCTGGAGGCGGTAATGGGGCCTTATATCAGTCTTGCCACAGCATGGCCTTTCTTTACCTGGTACACCTGGCAGTGACTCTCCCCTGTCGTTCTTTGATTGCTCTTTTCTATGGCAGACAAGGGGATGTGGCCCTACCCCCTTATTACCAGCCTGAGGAGGATGACGAGATGCCCTTTATCTGCTCCCTGTCGGGGGACAACGGCATCATGGGCTGTCACGAGATTCCCCCACTGAAGGAGCAGGGCCGAGAATGCTGCCTGTCCAAAGATGATGTGTATGACTTTGGGGCGGGGCGCCAAGACCTGAACGCCAGCGGCCTCTGCGTCAACTGGAACCGCTACTACAACGTCTGCCGCACGGGCAATGCCAACCCGCACAAGGGCGCCATCAACTTTGACAACATCGGCTATGCCTGGATTGTGATCTTCCAGGTGAGAACATTCAGGCCCAGGACTGGTCGGCCAGCAGTGGGTGACCTGGCTGGCAGCCTTACTCAGCAGGTAAAGTCTTGAGCTGGACTTGGTCATTCACTCCTTGAGAGCTGTCCAACATGCTGGTGGGCTAGGCTTCATCCTGCTCACTTTGTGGGCAGGAAACTCAAGGTTTGAAGGAGGAAACCATGCCTGTTGGCCAAGGAGTCTGCGGTGGCTAAATAGCGAGTCAAGATTTCTATCCACTTGGGGCTCCCCTCTAAACCTTTGCTCCTTACAGATGCCCAAGTGGGTTGGGTCAGAGCAGGGAGTTCTGTTCACAGAAGCAGGGCGTGACTCTGTTGGAAGGTCTGGGCTGAGCCAAAGCAAGGCCCACCATGCTAAGGAAAGTCATTGCAAGAACAATGACAACTGGGGCCAGGCCTGGGCGGAGCCTGACTGGCTGGCATAGAAGATGCTTTCGCCCTGGGGCCATTGTACCCATGCAGCCGTTTTACAGACCATTGTGGCTCCTGTACCAACTCCTTCTCTGTACTCTTGAGGGAACGAGGCATGGTTCTTTCAGGAAACAGGGGCTGTAGGACATTGGGGGTCTTGTTTCTGCCTCGGTCTTCTATTCAATACTGAATGTACTCTTCACTTTGGGTGCACTGTGCTAACAAACCCCTTCCCTTGGGTGCCTGACAACAAGTCAGTGCTGTGAGTGGGGATGCCAGCCCCTGTACCGTGAGGCTCCGCTGTCCTCAGAAGGAAGAGGAGAAGGAGAGCAGAGGAGGGCAGGGGGCTCCCACTCTGCTCTTGGAAGGATCATAACAGAGATTCAGAGCTGGGCAGCAACTGAACTCGTGCTCAGTCACTGTGTTTTGGGTCTCTTGGTTGGTCAGCCCAGAGGGTGGAGGCTGCTCAATGCTTTGCCACAAGCCAAGGTGAGGCCGAGCCAGGGAGGCCCCAGTGCTTAGCCTGTCCCTCCCCAGGTGGCTCTTAGTCTCTGAATGGCGGTCAGATGACCTGCCACACCTCAGCCCCGCTGTGAGCTCTGCTGTCAGTGTATGGAAGAAGTCAGTGTGCTTAAATCCAGGGTTCTCTGCTTCTCCATCGTGTGGGAGTCCCTGCTCCCCTCCTGCCTGGCAGCGTGATGTTGTAACACCAGTGTCTCTTTGAACCTTGGTTTCTGTATCCATGCTGCCCCCTACCCCAGCCCTTGGGGTGCACAGGAGGGCCCAGTGTCTTAGACTCCACCCTCTCCTCGTGCTGGCTGCAGGTGATCACGCTGGAAGGCTGGGTGGAGATCATGTACTACGTGATGGATGCACACTCTTTCTACAACTTCATCTACTTCATCCTGCTCATCATAGTAAGTATCAGGGCAAGTTCAGGACCGTGGACCACAGCACTAGGTCTGGGTGGAAGGGAGAGGAGGGGTGGGCAGTCCCCAGGGAGCCCTCTGGGCTAGGGGAGCCTGGTGAGACAGGAGGCAGCCAGAGGCGTAGGCATCCGTCTCCAAGGAGGGAATATTTTAAATGCAGCCAAGCAGCCAGTGATTGAAGGGGCTCATCAGGGCTGTGGCTGGGAGCATTCATCACTTCCCCTTGCCTTCACTTCTCATCTCTCTACATTAACTTCTGCCCCATTGATTCTGCTTGTCTTTCTCTGCCCCTATCTCCAGGAATACATTCTTCCAGGGTCTTACCCAGGGGTATAGTTCCAAAATGGAGCTTCCCAGGGGTACCATTTGGTCCCCATTTTTCTTGGGGAAGTCAAGATGCTTTGACTGATTGCATGAACCTCGTTCCTAGGCAAGACATAGGGTGGGAGGTTGGCTTTGGTGGAGCTCTGGGAAAGTCTTTGAACTCTGGATTCTCTGCAGCTCTGTCTGTGGCCAGGTGATGGAGGCAGGGGTCTCTCTGCCCTTCTAGGTTAGCACTTCCTGTCCCTGCTTTCCAATGTCCACCTTGTCCTGCCTGCCTGTGGCTTCTCCCTTAGCATAATCTGCAGAGGCCAGGCCTCTGGGAGAGCTGTGTTTGCTCCCCAGCATGAAGGCTGAGTTCTGCAGCTTACTGGTGGTGGGGGAAGGCAAGCTTGGCTCCCATGAGGAACACCCTGACTGAGGAGTTTGGAGAGACTGGCTGCTGACCAGAGACACACCTGCTGTGATGTAACTCCAGTGGTTTCCTGGGGATCCTGAGGCCTTGGACTCAGGAGAGACCATGGAGGAAAGAAAGAAGGGCCAAGATTTCATTCTGCTTCACTGGCTATTCAGAAACATTTTCAACAGAACATCCCAGAAAGATGGGCTGAGTTCTAGGGACAGAGCAGGGATCCTGGCCCCGCCCCACTCCAAGGAGCTCACAGTCTGGGAAGGAAGGGCTGACAGGTGACAGTGACATATAGAACCTTAGGTAGAAAGACGCCCATAAGGCTGGAGGATGCAGGTAATTTCCTGGAGGAAGGCAGGATGCTCAGTCCTCTGCCACAGGAAGCCATTGACTCATGGTATGATTTGAGGCAGGCCACTCACGGACTCTGTGAGATGGGACAGTGACAACACAGTACCCAGGTGATGGGGAGGGTTAGCTGGGATGCAGCTGGGAGCCTGTATACCCTTGGTATCCAGTAACTGATCAGTAAATATGCCCTGATGTTATTGGGGTCGCTGAGTCCCAAGTGTCCTGTCTCTGGAGAGAGGGTACCATCCGCAGGCCGATGGGGGTCTTCCATCTTCATACACAGCTCCCAGCACTCCTCTGGTTAGGAAAGTCCTGTCCCCACTTTGCTCCAGTTTCAGAGAGGACGAGGGCTGCCTGGGTCACCCAGGGCAACCACTGCTGGGCAAAGGCTAGGTGGTGACCATACAGGGGGCAGAGTGTAATCTCTCTGGTTCCTGTGTCCCTAACCAGTCCAGGCATGGCAATGCAGCTCTCTGGGAAATGCTATGGAGAAGACGATGGAGCAGAGGACTGCTGGCCATCTCTTTGTCTAAGAGGCAGTCTGTTTTCCAGAGTCCTCTGGGCCAGGAAGTCCTCTTCGCCTTTAGCCCTTTCAGTTGTGTGTAACAGGGAGAGGAAAGAAGGATAAACCAGTGACTGGGGCAGCCATCTGCATGTACCTGTGGGTGATGTCCCAGGAGGCTGGAGGCCACATCTCTCCTGCCAGGCCAGAGGTGCTCATTCGGGGTTAGTGAGTACCAGGGGGAGATGGCCGGTACCAGAATAGTTAGATGGGATACAGTGGGGCTACCCAGCTCCATCCCCCCCCTCCAGCACACAGCCGAAGTCCATGCCAGTGAGCAGGACTCAGGAGCTTCAGTGACTTGAAGGATTGTGTCTTTCCTCTTGGCTTCAGCATCTCTGTCCTACATGGGTGGATAGGGAGGCCAGGCCTTGGTCCTGATGGGGCCTGGGCTTGGATGCAGTCCTAGTCTGACCTGGGAAGTCACCTAGGCTGTGCCTTCCCCTGCAAGGACTCAGTGATCTTTTCCTGTCCCATCTGTGTCTGTGTTTCTGTCTCTCTGGGCCCCTCCATCTTCCCTGAACCTCTGTCTGTCTGTTTCCACCCCCAACGCTGCCTTCTCCATGTGCCCCCATGCTGCTGTCTCTCTCCCTTCCTCCCTCTCGCTGTCTTCCTCCCTTCTCCCCATCTCCTTTCTTTTCTCTCTCTTCTCCTCTCTCCCTCCCATTCTTTCCCCCTTTCTGTCTTTGACTCTCTGTGCTCTGGCTGTCCCTGTCTTGCTGTCTCTCTGCTGTGTATTCTGTCCTCTCTTCTGTGCCTCTGGTCTGTTCGCTCCCCCCTTCCCCATTTTTGCTGTCTCTGGCTTCCTTCTCTGTCTCCTGCTCTTGCTAACCCATTCTCTATCTCTGTCCCCTTTTCCTGTGCCCTCTTGTTGGCTCTACTCCTCTCTTTACTTCCTTGGCCCCACTGTTCCCTCTGCCCCCTGTTCCTGTCCTTTCCTCCTGTTGGTCACAGGTGGGCTCCTTCTTCATGATCAACCTGTGCCTCGTTGTCATAGCGACCCAGTTCTCGGAGACCAAGCAACGGGAGCACCGGCTGATGCTGGAGCAGCGCCAGCGCTACCTGTCCTCCAGCACGGTGGCCAGTTACGCCGAGCCTGGCGATTGCTATGAGGAGATCTTCCAATATGTCTGTCACATCCTTCGCAAGGCCAAGCGCCGTGCCCTGGGCCTCTACCAGGCTGTGCAGAACCGGCGTCAGGCCACGGGCCCGGGGACACAGGCCCCTGCTAAGCCTGGGCCCCATGCTAAGGAGCCCAGCCACCGCAGTAAGTGGCCTTGCCCCTGCAGCTCATATAACATGACCTGGGGAGGGGTCTCAAAATGGCAATATTACAAGCGGATCATGCCTATTGGAACAAGTGTCCATATCAGATGTGGGATCCCAAGGATTCATTTTAGACTCTGGTGTTTCCCTTAGGGCCTATCCAGGACTCATCTGCTCTCCTCATCCCTTGCCCTATTCCCTGTCCGGCCTGTGTGGGGTAGCCCTCTCCCTGGAGAAATTCTTCCAAGTTCTTCAGGCAAACCTGGGCGCCACTCCCTTGAACCTACACTTGAAAGTCAAGTGCACAGTGATTGGTTCATAGCCTTGTAAGATTAGCCTCCCTCTTGTCACCACCTACATCATCTCCCACTGTGGCTCCCAAGGCCGTTCCCTGCTTACCAGCACACCTGAGTAATGACGTCAGGCTCCTGGCACATGGGCAGTGCATGCCATGGCACATGGTGTCCCTTGTCCCCATCCTCTGCTCCTGCCTCGTGCTTGAGTGACACTGGACTATTTGTGCAAGTCTGGTGTTCAGTTTAGAAAGGATATTCTCGCTAGGTACATAGGGCAGTGGCTAGCGTGCTTGCTGAGCATGTGTGAAAGAAAACTCGAGATTCAAGCCCCATGAGGCATGGTGGTAATCCTGGTGCTCGGGACATAGAACTGGAGGATCAGAAGTTCAAGGGCATCCTTAGCTATATAGTGAATTCAAGATCAGGTTGGTCTACATGAGACCCTGTTGCAAGGAGAGAGAGAGAGAGAGAGAGAGAGAGAGAGAGAGAGAGAGCGCCCCGAGAAGGGGGCAGACTAAAAATGGTGTCTCCAGTTCTGAGAGGGGAAAACCAAGGTCCAGGGAGATGAAGACATGGTTTGGCATGTCAACGAAAGGCCCAGCCCCATAGAGTGTCAGAGGTGCTGGGCCTTGCTGAGTGTCTGTCTCCAGCTGCAAATACACCCCACCCTAAATGGAGGCCACCCAGGCTACCAGGGGACTCCAGGTTTGGTCCACTTTCTCCCAGCTGGTGCTGAGAAATTGGCCGGCCCCAGGACTGTTCCTTGGAGCAGCTGTGGGGCATGGCATGTCCTGTTCCCCTTATGAACTTGAACACCACGGGGCTACCCATCTCTTTTTCCAGAGCAAAGGGATCTCCTAGCTTGTGCCTGTGAGTGGCAACAATTACTGCCCGAGGCCCTGACTCCATGCTCCCAGCTCTCTCACCCTGTTAGAGACCAGCGGAGGCCAGACAGTTGCCCACTGTCCTCAGACACTAGCCATCTAGATGTGGTCCCAGGTGACCCGTGGGCTAGACTAGCAAGTGGAGAGGAGAGCTGGGGTCTGGGTAAGGCTAGCTCTTCCTAGGGGTGTGAGTATTAGGAAGGCTTCTTGCTGTTGCCACCACCCTCATCCTGGAACTCTGTGGGGGGAAGCTCTTCATATTAATTCCTCCTCTCCTCGGGCCTCCAGACCTTCTTTTCCTGAGTCTAGCAGTGATGTGGCTGAGCAGGGCTTTGGTTCTCCAAGGCTGGAGCAGAGTGGCTCGGGCATCTGGTTGCTTTGCAGTATTGGAAGCCGGTGTGGAAAAGTGCAGGAGTTCCTGCTTTTCTTTCCCATTAGCGCTTTTTTCTTTGTCTTATTCAAGCAAAATGTGCGTATGTCACTACGATATAGAAAAGTTTAAATAAGGAGCCAGCCAGGCATGGTGGCTCATGCCTTTAATCCTAGTATTGGGAGGTAAAGGCAGGTGGATCTCTGAGTTTGAGGCTAGCCTGGTCTACAGAATGAGTTCTAGGACAGCCAGGGCTAAACAGAGAAAAAAAAAAGAAATAAAAAGAAGAAACCAAACCAGGTAGAGGGAAGCCTCCTGACATCTCTTTGAATTGGCTTACAGATCCAAGGCTAGCCTAGGCGATTCAAGGCTAGCCTGGCATTGAAAGCCTCAGACACTGTCTTAGTTAAGGTTTCTATTTGAGTGAAGAGACACCATGGCCAGAGAGGCAACTCTTATAAGAAAAACATTTAATTGGGGTGACTTACTTATAGTTCAGAGGTTCAGTCCATTATCATCATGGTGAGGAGCATGCTTGGGAGCACGGCAGACATGCTGCTGGCTACAACTTGATCAGAATGCAACAGGAAGTCAACTGAGACACTAGTTGGTATCCTGAGCATAGGAAACCTCAAAGCCCACCTCCACAGTGACACACTTCCTCTAACAAGGCCATTCCCACTCCAACAAAGCCACACCTCCTAATAGTGCCACTCCCTATGAGATTATGGGGGCCACAGACCCCATTTGTTGTGATCCTTCCTGCCCCGTCCCCATTTAGCCTGACTTTTGTATGAAGGGAAGTCCTGGGAACCCAGAGAGCGAGGTTGCCTCGTCTGGGGCTGTGCCTCCTCCCTGAGAACTTCACACAGATGAGCAAAGTAGGGAATGCCAAAGCTACCATAGCTTCCTCTGTGGGGTGTCCACTTTCCATGCAGACCTGCAGTCCCCAGATCCCTATAACTGTGCCTGGGAAGGTCCATTGAGTGACTGGCCCAAAGTCAAGGTCAAAGATGACCAAGAGTTAGCACAGACTGAGGTGCCAGGCACTGTGGTGAGCCTGTCACATGTTTCGTGAAGACAATTCTCTTGCAACTTTGGTGGGTGGGTGCTCCATTCCTACTTCTGTACAGGGACAAAACCCAGGTGGAAATAAAATGTTTTCCCAAGCAGCACCAGGCCCACCAGGCGGACTTCACTTGCTTTAGGCAATGTCCCTCGGGCAGCTGGGGACCCGCTTTGGACACTAATGCTGGTCTCTGTTTGTTTTTCAGAGCTGTGCCCACGACACAGTCCCCTGGACCCCACCCCCCACACTCTGGTGCAGCCCATCTCTGCTCTTCTGACCTCTGACCCTAGCAGTTGCCCACGCTGCCAGCATGAGGCAGGCAGGCGGCCCTCAGGCCCAGGCAGCACAGACTCAGGCCAGGAAGGCTCGGGCTCTGGTGGCTCCGCGGAGGCTGAAGCCGACGGGGATGGACCCCAGAGCAGTGAGGATGGGGCCTCCTCAGGCTTGGGGAAGGAGGAGAAGCAGGAGGATGGAGCAGCCCGACTGTGTGGTGATGTGTGGAGAGAGACACGAGCCAAGCTGCGGGGCATCGTGGACAGCAAGTACTTCAACAGAGGCATCATGATGGCCATCCTGGTCAACACTGTCAGCATGGGCATCGAGCACCATGAACAGGCCAGTGAGGGTACAGGGCTTGGGCCAGGTTGTGGGTAGGGAGAAGCAGGCCAATGTGGAGCATTGGCCAGGGGTGGAGGGGCACACCCAGGCCAGACTGAGCCCACCACCACATCTATCTCCTTGACCCTGGCTAGGGTAGTCTAATCCTTTCACAGGGCTCCAAATCCTTGCCCAAGGCAACACTTGGGGGTAGATGCTCTTGGGTATCTTTAGAATGAATGGAGCCGGGTGGTGGTGGCACACGCCTTCAATCCCAGCACTCGGGAGGCAGAGGCAGGTGGATCTCTGTGAGCTCAAGTCCAGTCTGGTCTACAAGAGCTAGTTCCAGGACAGGCTCAAAGCTACAGAGAAACCCTGTCTCGACCCCCCCCCCCCCAAAAAAAAAAGACTGGTTGATGAATGTGGTTCACTGGCAGGATAAGACTTCATGAGTTAGGACCCAACTCAGAGGTTGCCTGCTTCTTTTCCTCCTAAGCTGCCCAGAAGTCTGCAGCCCATAGGGCACTCCTGTCAAATGCTGGCTCCATTTGGAGTAACCCTATTTCCTGGCTCCTGTCCACTAGTCTTTTTTGGAGGGTGTGGCTTCCTTGGCCTGCTCCTCAGCTTGGTGGGGCACCCCCACTTCCCAGCTGGGAATGCCCAGGCTCACTGACCTTAGGTCCCAGAGATAGCTAGCAGCCCAGCTTGAACCCACCTACTGTGGCAAGATTGACATCCCAGCAGGAATTGGATTCTGAGCCCCCCTGGCTATGGTGTCCTTGTCATTCTGCAGAGCCCTCCCCTGTGCCTAGAGGGGGCCACACTCTTCATTTCTCTGCTCATTAGCTCACCAAGCACAGGCTTCATTCAATTTAGTTAAATGTGGCCCCTGGGGCTGCCACCCGACACTCGGTTGGTACTGCAGGTTTGCCAGTTATTCTGACTTAATTAAGAAGATCTTTGGGGAGGGCTGCTGAGTGGGATCTCTGCAGGGAGAAGCTGGTGAGAGGAGAGGACTAAACTTTACCTTAAGGCCCTAGACCGTCAGAGCGCAGGGGACCCAGCTGGGCTTATGCTCTTGGGGAAGGTGCTGGGGGAAGAGCTGTTCTCCAGAGCCTGGCTCTGGTGTCTACGCCCTGCCCTACCAGAGTGGGCGCTGTCTCTGGCTTGCTGGAACCAGCTGGTGAGCACCAGTTTTCTCACACCTGGGAATGTAGCAAGCAGTTGTCAAATAGTTGCTTGTTTGAGATGGATTCCGGGGAGAGAATTTACACCATGGAACTTGGCAGGTTTATTTGAACCCCATTGGTCTCTGATTTTTGAAGCCCCTCCAAGGCAGCACCACAGCAGAGGCAGCTCTTCCTTTGCCCCCCTGCTTGACCTCGGGCCAGTCACGGTCTCTACATGAGTCTGCTCAGGGTCTTTTCTGACTCACCTCTTGACCCTGCTGTATCCCACTTGAGCAGGCTGACTTCCTTTAAAAAATTGTTTTGAGCTGGCCACGATAGCACACACCTTTAATCCCTGCACTTGGGATGCAGAGGCAGGGGATCTCTGAATTTGACACCATTCTAGTCTTAAGAGCTTGTTCTAGGACAACCAGGGCTACACAAAAAACCCTGCTTCGAAAAGAAAAAAAATCAACCATTTGTTGTTCTTTACCCATCGAGCTACCTTGTCGGGGCCCCAAACTTTCTAACTCTGCTGGAGCTTCTCCCATTGGTACAGCAGAAGTCACGTGGTGTGCAGTTGCCTCCTACCTGGAGTCCCCACCTGGCTGGAAGAGGCTCCTCCCAAGTGTAGGGTCTACCCTGATCTCCTCGTCTGCAACCTCAGCCTTGAGATGTCTCCCTCCGAGGCAGATCATGTACTGGGAACTTAGTAAGCTCTAGGCCTAGAGAGAGCAAGGTGTCCCTGAGTCCTCACAAATATTTTCCAGGCTAGCATCACGGCTTCTTGTTTTCACACTTGGAAGGCCGCTACTCGGGGGCCATATCCTTTATTCATGGTCCAGATTTCAACCTTGGTTCTGCTGCTGACGGACAGGTGGCCCTGGGAAAGTCAAATGCTTTCCTAGCTAGTGCCTCTATCTACAGAAAAGTCAGACACCCTTCCCTCCATACACACACTCAACACACACACACCCAACACACACACCTAACACACATACACCCAACACACACACCCCCAACACACACACCCCCAACACACACACACCCAACATACACACACCCCCAACACACACACACACCCAACACACACACACACACACACACACACACACACACACACACACACGGGGTGGCCAGGAAGGACAAAAATGTGAATTCTGGTTGTCTAGTAGGCATTCATGACTCCATGACTACTAGCAGGTCTTTTGTTTAAGCTTTCTGCCACCAGCCTGGGTGAGTTTCCCATCCACTGTCTGGAGCCTCAAAAATTAATTAAAGAAGAAGCGAGGAGGAGGAAGAATTTTTAAACCATGCTTTTTAAAGCAGTACCGAGCGGCAGCCATTGTTCCGCTGAGCTCTGTGCAGAGCCTGCTGGTATTTTTGTTCCTCGCCCTGGGCTCTCAGACATCTCTCTGCGGGGAAACTGATCCGCCCCCAGGTTTATTTCGAGCATCCCCCACTGAGGTGGCCCCACAGTGTGAGGTGGCCCAGGACTGCAGATGGCATGCAAGGAAAAAGGGGAGAGGGTCATGGGTCCTTTTCCCCCACCTCCACTGGGCCCTGCACCCCACCCAAGCCTGCAGAGAACTCTGGGTACCACTTGTAAGGGGGTAAGTGCTGAGGTCATGGCTTGTCACCCCTGCCTCTCTAATTATGGGGAGCTCAGTACAGATGCTCATGGCCTATAGCATGGCCACTGCTGCTCAAATAATGGCGGGCCAGCACCATGAACAATTTGTTTGTTCAGGCTCTGTATGGCATGGATATTCCGTGTAGGGCCTGGCCTGGAAGGACTTCACAGGTGAAAGGAAGTCAGCCAGTTATGGACCTGCCTGTGTTTCATGAAGACAGAGAGAATGACCAACAAGGACCGGGTGTGTCTTGATGGCAGAGTACTTGCCTAGCATGTCCTGGGTCTAATTCCCAGCACTGAAAAAGAGAAATCCCAGGAGACCCGTGAGACTTGAGAAGCCCACACCCCTTGGGTAGTCTCTGGTTGAGTTGTGGGACCATAAGGAAAGTCAGGCCAACTTGACTGCCAGGCTTCATCTTCACAGAAGTGGGAAGGTGGGGGCAGGTGGGGAAACTGAGCAAATAGACTGCCCAGGTGACCTGGCAAGCAGCCAGCAGGACTGGTTCTGGGGTGCAGAGGGCAGCTGTGGATGAGCACAACAAATGTGGGCGCACAGGCCAGGAGGACACTCGGAGGCTTTAGGGTGGCCCTGCCTTAGTGTCTCTCTGACTAGACCTGGGCCTCCTCTCAGGCTGGGCAGGGCCACCCCAAAGCCTCATCCTGGCCCCGGTGAAGGCTGGTCAAGGCGGAGAGTGAAAAGCAGAGGTTGTATGGAATGGGCACCAGGAAGGGGTTCCTCCAGCTTAGGGCTGTCCCATCTAGGATGTAGGATCATTTTGGTTTTAGCTCCCAGGAGACTGTGTTCAAGACCTCCCCAGCTGGGGGGTGACTCAAAGCTCATTGGGTAGCTCCTATGAAGTAAACATAAATCAGGCTTAGGGTGACTCTGGGAAGAGAATTATGGGATGGTTTGGTGCCTGAAGTTATAACTCTGTGAGAGTCTCATAAGAGAGGGTGGCATTAACATGGGTTGCAACCAGGGAGGGCTTCCTGGAAGAGATGGCGTTGAGGTGGACAGCCCGTGGGGCAAGCAGGGCTGCTTGTCCACCGAGGGCCTCAAGGACACTTCTACCCTTGTGCAGTGGGGAGCCAGGGAAGGCTTTAAGCAGGGGAATAACATGTGCTGAACAAACTTCTTCTAAAATGTGTCCAGGTGATGGCACTCGGTTCCCAGGAGAGGGAGGAGACACGACTCCAGAGTGGACTCCTTCTTGGCCTGGCCATGACCCTGATTCTGACCCTGAGCCTTTCCTTCTGTCTGAGCCATGTATTTCCCAACTATTAAATGGGCACAGTGTGGGCAAGATTGGAGCTTAGATGATAGGCGTTTAGAAAGTGCTCCACAGGCCTGCCCTCAGGAGGAACTTAGCTGACACCTGCTGCCATTGTCACCATGGTGCTAGACTGGGCTTGAGGGGTTCCTGGACGGTTCAAAGACCCTTGTATGTCCTTTTATCTACCTCTATAGAGGTGGCCAGGAACTGGACAGCCTGGGACCGCTAAGCCCAGCACGGGGCAAGAAGGAGCCCCTTGTACCTTCTAGATGCAAGCTGAGTTTTCTGACCTGCACCACCTGCTCTTCCACAGGGAGCATGTTAGACATCAGACCTCTCATTATCTGTTGTTCTGTCTGCCCGTCCGTCTGTCTGTGATTTTTGTGTTGTCTCTCCTGGCCTGTCTTTGATTTCTACCTTATCGCTGTGTTTCAATCCACCCCTTTCCTCCCCGCTCCCCCAAAATAGGATGTCAGGTAGCCTAGGCTGGCCTTGAACTCAATATATAGTCAACAATGACCTTGAACTTCTGATCCTCTTGATGCCAACCTCTGCAGTGCTAAGATATACTGAGTTAATGGGTGTGGTGATTGCACTTAGGACCTTGTGCATGTTAGGCAAACTCTCCACCGACAGAGCCAGGTCCCAAGACCTCCTTCCTCACATCTTCATCAGGGCTTTCGCCTCTGCTCTGTGCTCTCCATATTCCTGTCTGTCTGTCCATCCACTCGGCTTCTGTCTCTCTGCATCTCTGCCTCGTCCCTTCCATCCCCCGCTTGGCCTCCCACTGGTGGTGTCTATATTCATCTGTCTGCCTCTCTCCAGCCTGCCTCTCTCCCAGAAAAATGCTCTTGGGAGTGATGGATGGTCCATTAGAGAGAGATTAACAGGTGTGCACTGCCTGGAGACAAGGCTGTTGCGGGGGAGGAGGGAGGCGAGCTAGTGACCTTTCTGAAGCGCTGCCGTGGCTCGAGCACAGTTGGAAGGAACACGTACACATTGTGTGCGGCTGAGAGCCAGCGGAGGGCCATCACAGACCCATCAGCAGCCACCCTTCTCATCTCCAAAGATCTGGTTTGGGTGGGCCGAGTGAGCAGCATCAGAGTCCCTCCATCCCACTGCCTTCCCAGGGTCCTGCTCATCTTGCGCTTTGCGAGTCAAATATAACTGTGGATGGAAATGGGACCCTCTCCTTTTATCTGGACTTGAGAGGAACTGGCAGTTTTATTGGATTTCCTGGGCACTAGATGGGAAGCTGGTGGCTGCATAAATTTTTCTTTCTTCTTGTAAATCATACGGAATCAAAGTGGGGCCCCTGGGGTTCCCTGCTGCTCGGTGGAAGGCCTGAGCTTGGAGTTAGGGTGCCGGCAGGGTGGGGGATGGCTAGCTGTCATTGCACTTGCCTGCCACCCAGCCCTTGCCCTGGCTGGGAGTTTGGCTTGGTTAGCCTGCTCTGTTCTCCCGTGTCACTGGCTTTCTTCTTTGACTTCCCCCGGGAGACTGCCTGGCTCCCCAGCACTGTCTCCCAAGCTTAGCTTTGCCAGCGTTGGTGGGTATTGGCTTGCTTTGTTTTGGGGTGATTTGTGGGACTCTGCCAATGAGAGTGGGCATCCCCTGACCCCCCTCAGGAACATAAAGGTCCAGCACAGTGTGGGCTCTTGGAAGACCTATGTGATGCACCCAGGAGGAACCAAATGAATGAATGAGTGGATGGGCTGATTCAGGCAGTTTCTGTGTGCTGCAGCGGAGTCCAGCCTGCTATTGCTGCTGGGTGGTTCCATGTAAGCCAGTCCCCAGCACCCAGCCGGTTCCTTCTAGTCTGCTATTCCTGCTGGGTGGTTCCTTGTAAGCCAGCCCCCAGCACCCAGCCGGTTCCCTTACTTCTAGTCTGCTATTGCTGCTGGGTGGTTCCGTGTAAGCCAGCCCCCAGCATCCACCCGGTTCCCTTGCTTCTCAAATGGAAAGGTCAGCGATGGCCTATCAGGCTTTGAGGTTCAGTGATGGAGGAATAAGTGGCCCGTTCTTTTCCTAGGTTTCAGGCAGGAGCCATTGGTGTCCCCTTGAGCGCTATGTCCTTCACCATGGAGAGGAGAGCCTCTTTGCCTCACACCCTTAGCCATAGGCTGTGTCTTCTACACCTTGCTTGTGGATGGGGGGGGGGTCAGAGGCAGGGGCCAGGCCTGGAACCATCCTTTTTATCCCCATGGAACTGTCTGTTTCAAAGCAGGGTCTTCAGTGGTTCCATTTTAAGCTGCTACCTGCCTCTTGAAACCCCGAGAGAAATAGCTCTACGGGAAGAGGGAGGCCTGTGGCTGCAGAATGGGGGTCCACTGCCACTGGCTAGTGACTCTGGACACTTCCCTTGATCTTCTTGGTGTTCCCTGAGAGTCACTGTGGAGGTGTCCTGTGCCTAGGGTTGTGCCTGGCATGCAGTAGGTACCCTGTCTTTTGATTTCTGCTTCCTGGCAGTGTGTGAGCGGCTGATCCATCTGTAGCATGGGTAGTAATGCCTCCCAGTGCACAGTACAGCATCACTGGTGGACTGCCTCACTCCTTGGCAGACGCCACCCCAGGATCCAAAGGTAGCACAGCTAAGAAGCCTTAAAGACTACAGTGCCATGACAGGGACACGCCAGGGTCACATGTTCTTCACCCTACATCCCACAGCCTGAGGAGCTGACCAACATTCTGGAGATCTGTAATGTCGTCTTCACCAGCATGTTTGCCCTGGAGATGATCCTGAAGCTGGCTGCCTTTGGGCTCTTCGACTACCTGCGAAACCCTTACAACATCTTTGACAGCATCATTGTCATCATCAGGTAACCACACTGCCACCTCGAAGCTGAGAGCGGGAGTGAGAGCCCCAAGCCCTGATAGCACAGGAAGTCTCTGAATGACAAAAGAAACTCTTACTGACAAATACCGAATAAACTGGTCATTTAGTAATCTATGCTTCTGCATTAGATGCGCTCAGTCGGGGTCGCAGTGAGTCTGAGGCCACCGAGTTCCAAACGGGTTGGAAACACAGAAATGGCCTCATCAGTCATTATGCCACCTGAAGATATTAGCTATTCTGATTGCCCATGAAGTCATGGCTCTGGCTGAATCTCTGGTTTGTTGTTTATGTTCATAATCAAAAGAAGCACGCAACCTCAGAGAGAGGACAGTGACATCCAGATCCTTGTGAGGCTTTAGACAAAGACTGCTGCCTTCTCGTTGTTTTTTTTTTCTTTTTTTTTTTTTTTTCTTCTAAGTTTTTTGAGACAGGGTTTCTCTGTGCAGCTTTGGAGCCTGTTCTGGAACTCACTCTATAGACCAGGCTGGCCTTGAACTCACAGGGATACATACATCTACATCTGCCTCCCGAGTGCTGGGATTAAAGGCGTGCACCACCACCACCTGGCTGCTTTGTCCTTCTTTACAAGTGTGCATATGAACGTGTGTGTGCATATGCGTGTGTGTGTGTGTGTGTGCAGGTCAGAGGACAACTTGGCAGGAGTCACTTCTCTCCTACTATGTGGGTCCTGAGGATTGAACTCAGGTCATCAGGCTTGGTTCCAAGCTTCTTGATCTGCTCAGGTATCTCACCAACTCAAGAGCCACAGGCTTCTTAATGCAGGACCCATGGGCTCCTGGCTAAGAAAACCTGATTTAAGGGGTGCTGTGGAGTAGCACCCAACACCATTTGTTAGATGGATGGCTGGATGATGCAAGCTGTTTCTCTGTCCTCCTTGCCCTGTCTACCTCTTCCATCTTCCCATCCTCTTGGCCTCCCACTGACCCCTCTGCCTCCCCCTCAACACTGGCTGCAGCATCTGGGAAATCGTGGGACAGGCGGACGGAGGCCTGTCGGTGCTGCGCACCTTCCGGCTGCTGCGGGTGCTGAAGCTGGTGCGCTTCATGCCGGCGCTGCGGCGCCAGCTCGTGGTGCTCATGAAGACCATGGACAACGTGGCCACCTTCTGCATGCTGCTCATGCTCTTCATCTTCATCTTCAGGTGCGCCCTGCCCAGCCAGGACTCAACACTGGGGAACCTGATAGGGGCTGTGGGCATGAGCCTGGGATGTGATGGCTAGGGGAGGGAGGATCTGGCTGTGAACCCAACGCTATCACTCAACCCTGTGGGCTTTGGGCAGGTCCTTCTTCTGAGCCCCGACATTCCCCTCTATTAACACGGACTTGGGATTGCCCTCTCTTCTGGCTCTGGGTGGTCTCAGCAGCTGCAGAGAGCTCAGTGTGCTAAGTCTCACGAGCCGCTTCCTTCTCTTGCACAGCATCCTTGGGATGCATATCTTCGGCTGCAAATTCAGCCTCCGCACAGACACAGGAGACACAGTCCCCGACAGGAAGAACTTTGACTCCTTACTGTGGGCCATTGTCACAGTGTTCCAGGTGAGTGATAGCTGACAGCTCTTGGATTTCAGGGGTGCGTAGGGAGAAGCGTCTGGATGGCAGGTCCTGGACAGTCTTAGGCTAACAGTCTGGGCTTGGAAGGATTCCAGGGCTGAATTTGTATCCTTTTCAACAGATCCTCACGCAGGAGGACTGGAACGTTGTCCTCTACAATGGCATGGCCTCCACCACTCCATGGGCTTCCCTCTACTTTGTTGCCCTCATGACCTTTGGCAATTATGTACTCTTCAATCTCCTGGTGGCCATCCTGGTAGAGGGCTTCCAGGCTGAGGTAACTATCGCCCTGGGCAGGCCATTGGGCAGGGGACAGGGAGCCTGTTTGGGGGATAAGTACCAGCTTATAATTTTAGCAAGAAACATCCCCCTGAAGTAGAGTTGTCTGAGGCAGCAAGTTTCCCATCCCGATCCTGGAAGCAAATGGAAGCTGCATCCAGTATGGGTGCCTTCACTACCTCAGATTCTAAAGCTTCCAAGACCTGGCTTTCCAGAGCCTGCCTCTCCCTCCATCTGTGTGGCTTTGGGGAGTCCTGGAGATCAGGAAAACTGGGCTTTGTGGCCGACGTCCTCACTAACCTCTCAGGTCCCCGTTCTGAACCACTTTCCCCGTCTGTAAAAGGAGGGTGGAAGCACCCATTGAAAAATCCCAAGGGTAGGAAAAGGCAGAGCCGACCTGTGTCAATGTGAGCTGATTTCCAGGGTGATGCTAATCGCTCCTACTCTGACGAGGACCAGAGTTCATCCAACATGGAGGAGTTTGACAAGCTCCCAGAGGGCCTGGACAGTAGCGGGGGTAAGCACACGTCCACTTTCCACTCAGGGTCAGGAGCCTTCTGTAGATTCCCAGGTGGGCATAGGGTACGATGGCTTCCCCATGAAGCCTGGGCTCCGGGATTGCCACTGGTCTGTTTTTTTACAATTATATCCAAAAGAGATGCCTGGCTTCAGAAATGGACATTCACAGACCTCCTGGGTTCCCCTAGAAAGCCCACCTGCTGCCCTTCCTACATGGGACCCTGAGTTAAAGCCCCAGTGTTTAAGGATGTGGCCTGTGTTCTGGTTATGTCTGCTACCACTAGGGTAGCCTTCTCCAACCAAGCCCAGTGGCCAGGGTAACCCAAGAAGACAGTGTCTGCCTGTGAGCATGGGAGTGAGGTTCTCCTGCTGGGTGGAGGTCGAGGCCCCAGAACAGAAGGAAGGGTTCATGAGGAAGTAAATAAACAGCCTTGCAAGGAGGATGGAGGAAGGCGTGTGAAGTAGGTGGCAACCTCCGGGATTTCCTGGTCAAGGATGTCTCCCCAGAAAAAGCTCTTCATCTACATACATCTTCTGATTGGCTCATGTCTGTCTGTCTGTCTGCTTTCTTCATCTCACACCTCCAGATCTCAAGCTCTGCCCAATACCTATGACACCCAATGGACATCTGGACCCTAGCCTCCCCCTGGGTGGGCATCTGGGTTCTGCTGGTGCCATGGGCCCTGCCCCTCGTCTCTCACTGCAGCCAGACCCGGTACTGGTGGCCCTCGACTCCCGCAAAAGCAGTGTCATGTCATTGGGCAGGATGAGCTACGATCAGCGTTCCTTGGTGAGTCGTGTGGGTGCTATGATGGATGCTCCTTGCTGGAGGTGGAAAGCACTGAGGGACCGTGGTAGGAAGTGCCCTGGCTAGGGTACCACACTATCTAGTTTAAACCAGTCAGGGTCTGTGTTTATGGCAGTTCTGGGTGCTCTGTGCCAGAATAGGTCTTGGTAGCTGGAATGAAAGGGTAAGGTAGGAAAGGCTGTGGTGTGGTGGAGAGACCTGGGATTTCATCTTGGCAGCAATGTGTTGACTTTGGAGGTGAGGCCAACTGGAAATTTAATCTGGCCTCTGCCACCTCTGAGCTGTGTAAAAGCAAGCAAATTATCACCTTTCCCTGAGCCTCAGTTTTCTTACCTGTAAAGTAGGCCCTTATTTACTATATACTTTCCTCAAAGAAGGAGGGGGTTTAATGCCAGTCATACATTGGCGTGGGTGGGCTCACTCTAGCATGGCTTGCAGGAGGTTCAGGCCTTGGTGCTAGATTACGGTGTGGGTGACTGCTGATCCAAGCCTGGGCCTCTCCGCAGTCCAGCTCCCGGAGCTCCTACTATGGGCCCTGGGGACGTAGCGGGACCTGGGCCAGCCGCCGCTCCAGCTGGAACAGCCTGAAGCACAAGCCACCCTCAGCTGAGCACGAGTCCCTACTGTCGGGGGAGCATGGTGGCAGCTGCGCCAGGGCCTGTGAGGGTGCCCGGGAGGAGGTGCCATGCCGCACTGCACCCTTGCATGCCCCGCATGCCCACCATGCTCACCATGGACCCCACCTTGCACACCGTCACCGCCACCACCGCCGGACGCTGTCCCTCGATACTAGAGACTCAGTGGACCTGGCAGAGCTGGTGCCCGTGGTGGGCGCTCACTCGCGGACTGTTTGGAGGGCAGCGGGCCAGGCTCCGGGGCATGAGGATTGCAATGGCAGAATGCCCAACATCGCCAAGGATGTCTTCACCAAGATGGATGACCGCCGCGACCGTGGGGAAGACGAGGAGGAGATCGACTACGTGAGTTGGGACTGGACAGGACCCCTGAGAAGCTGGATTGTAAAAGCAGTTTACAGGGCTGGAAGAGGCAGATTCAAGAGACATGGCTTTGGGTTGTCCTGGAATGGTGGGTGGGGCTGGAGGGCGGGGCTTGAACTGCCCACCCCGGACCTACTGTTGCCAATCCTTTGGTTGGGGTCCGGAGTAAGAGTTCAGAGTTCATTCCGTGGCTGGTAGAGTGGGAAGAGATGGGCCGCTCTGTGCACCACCAACCCTGGCACCCAATTCCTTGTCTTGCCAGACCCTGTGTTTCCGGGTCCGCAAGATGATCGATGTCTACAAGCCTGACTGGTGTGAAGTCCGTGAGGACTGGTCCGTCTACCTCTTCTCCCCTGAGAACAAGTGAGTGGTGGCTGGCTGGGTGAGGGCCAGAGGAGAAGGGTGACATGTTTGGAAGGGCACCTCTATATGCTAGAGAGAGGAGGGTCTTCAAGGGAAGGGGGAGGGGTCTAGATGGCCCTCCTCGGCTTTCGTGAGCATCTCCTGTGTTGGGCACAAGCCTGGTCAGATGCACAAACCAGCCTGAAAGCTCAGATGGAGCCCTTCCCATCAGAGGCCTTTGTGTTAGGTGTTGGAGGCAGCTGGTTGACCTCATTACATAGGGTGTATGGTTGGGGAGGAGGCTCTAGTTGGGTACCTTTGGCAGATGTAAAGTTGGCACCTGTTGAATGGCTACAAGAAGGGAGAGGGATCTCTTCCTCTCAGCCATTCTGGTCCAAGAGTGTGTATTGGTCCTCCATCTTCCTTCTGGTCAAACTGACCCTGCAGGGGTTTCCTGACTTCCACTTAGGTTCCGGATCCTCTGTCAGACCATCATAGCTCACAAGCTCTTTGACTACGTGGTCTTGGCCTTCATCTTCCTCAACTGCATCACCATTGCCCTGGAGAGGCCTCAGATTGAAGCCGGGAGCACTGTGAGTGGCTGCCGCCCTGGGCTGGGCAGAGGCTCTCAACACTGGGGATGGCCAAGGTGGGGGAGCCCAGGAAGAGCTCGGCTAAGCCAGACACTTAGCGGCAGCTGTCGTGGCTGCTCCTGGCTGAAGCAGAGGCTGATTAGGCACATGGACAGCTGTGGAAGACTTGGACTCATGGCTTCTCCCACTCTTTCAGGAGCGCATCTTCCTCACGGTGTCTAACTACATCTTCACAGCCATCTTCGTGGGCGAGATGACACTGAAGGTTGTGGGCTTCACCTGCATCCTTCCCACTCCCACCTGGAGCCCCTGGCTTAGGCCTCACCCCTCCTGCTGGCCTGGCACTCAGCAACATTCCACAAGCCCCAGAGATCCTTCCTGTTGGGCTCTAGACCCTGGGCGGAGCTCTGGGATGAGAGGGGATCAATGCCTCCTTCTTCTCCAATTATTAAACCCAGCTAGAAGGGTGTGTTTGGGTAGACGCATTACCCTGGGGGGCTCCCAGTGTGGGTGGCTTTGGATTGAGATCTTCTTGTCGTTCTCTGAGACCATAGCTTGGAGCCTTCCCTGGGCCCAGACCTGCTCCTTCCTGCCCTTCACCAGCCTTCAGAAGAGCCCCACCTATCACCTCTTTACAGGAGGTGGACCTGACCTCCCGTTGTCCTGCTCCTTGAGGGGAGTCTTCTGGACCCCTCCACTTCCAAAGGCTTGACCCTAACCCTGTCCCCAGGTGGTTTCTCTGGGCCTGTACTTTGGCGAGCAGGCGTACTTACGCAGCAGCTGGAATGTACTGGATGGCTTCCTGGTCTTTGTGTCCATCATTGATATCGTGGTATCTGTGGCCTCCGCGGGGGGAGCCAAGATTCTGGGAGTCCTCCGGGTCCTGCGACTCCTACGCACCTTACGTCCTTTGAGGTAAAGACCCTGTCACAATGGTAGGGGTGAAGTGTAGGACAAGGTGGCTGCGCAGTGTAGGGAAATTACCCGAGTCTAAGTGGGTCGTCACTCTGGCTTGACAATGCAGGCTCCCAAGAGCATTGTGCCAAGCATACCACACTGCTGGGGGAGGAACCAGAGAGCCTAGGGCAGGGGCTCAAATGGCTTCCATAGTGTGACCTCCTCTGTGTTCCTGGGTGGCTCACTGCCATCTCTCATGTGTAATGTGTACCGCATGGGTACTGGGTGAGGGGTCAAGTGTCCTTCTGTGTGTTGACCTAGGTAGAGATCGCTGCTCACCCCCATCCTAGGTAACCTGGCAACTGTCTCTTCATTTCCCTGTTGGAACCTCACCTCTCAGGAGGCCTGGTGGCTGTGAACTGAGTTGGGGCTGTCTCTCTGTTGACTCAGTGCCCTGTCCTTCCTTGCCTGCCTGCAGGGTCATTAGCCGGGCCCCTGGCTTGAAGCTGGTGGTAGAGACGCTCATCTCCTCCCTTAAACCCATCGGCAACATTGTGCTCATCTGCTGTGCCTTCTTCATCATCTTCGGCATCCTGGGGGTGCAGGTGAGGGGGTGCTCACTTGGCGGGGTGACAAAGAGCCCAGCCCAGCCTATTCATACCAACCCCGCCCCTGCGCGCTCTGCCCTCATACCTGTATTCGCTCACATGGGGACTCAGGTGGTCTTGATGGAGCCAAGTGAAGGAGGCAGAGCCAACCTGGGTTGACTGAGCAAGGGGCAGGTTGTGTGGGTCAGTTCCTGGGGAAGCTTCCCCTCCTCTGATTGTGCCTCCCTCACCCCGAGCAACCAGCTCTCCCCTCCTTGTGCACAGCTGTTCAAGGGAAAGTTCTACCATTGTCTGGGAGTGGACACCCGCAACATCACCAACAGATCTGACTGCGTGGCCGCCAACTATCGCTGGGTGCATCACAAGTACAACTTTGACAACCTGGGCCAGGTGAGTGCTTCAGGAGTCACGGGCCCAGCTCAGGTCCTGTATTGTTGCTACAGACCCTTTTCCCTTTCCAGGCAGGAGTTTCCCATCCTGCAAAGTGGGTAGGGGTTGAGCTCTGCTCCCGGGAGGTGTGAGGCTGGGACCCTAAGTGCAGAATCTGCCAGCATGTGAAACTTGGCTGGTGCTTCATGAACACTGGCTCTGGTCTTACCCTCCCACCCAAGGGTTGATAATGGGGGTTTTAGAGCTATCCACACCTGGGCATACACCCCAGCTGTTTTTTGTATGGATATTCCACTTAAGGTTCAGTTTCTTCCTCTGTCAAATGGGAATATGACAATCCAGTTGACAAACTCAGCTGGTGACTAGTCCATTGGGCCTCTTGGCCTGGCGTCTTCTCTTTTCTAATAGTTCAGTCAGCTTGCAGGGTCCTGCTTTGCCTTTGGTCCCCTCCTGGGGATAGTTCCAGGAGAGAGCTGCCCCCAAAGGGCCTTATTTCCCCAGCCCCACAAAGACTCCAGCAGCTAGGTATTTGCAGAGAGAGGGCTATTTTTTCTCCCAGATGTAAGAAGAAGCAGGGTCCAGGCTGGTGCCTTCTCGCTGGTGTCCCCCTCACTGGTGTCCCCCTCACTGGTGTCCCCCTCACTGGTGTCCCCCTCACTGGTGTCCCCCTCACTGGTGTCCCCTCACTGGTGTCCCCCTCACTGGTGTCCCCCCACTGGTGTCCCCTCACTGGTGTCCCCCTCACTGGTGTCCCCTCGCTGGTGTCCCCCTCACTGGTGTCCCCCTCACTGGCGTCCCCTCACTGGTGTCCCCCCCACTGGTGTCCCCCCCACTGGTGTCCCCTCACTGGTGTCCCCCTCACTGGTGTCCCCCCACTGGTGTCCCCTCACTGGTGTCCCCCTCACTGGTGTCTCCCTCACTGGTGTCCCCTCGCTGGTGTCCCCTCACTGGTGTCCCCTCACTGGTGTCCCCCCACTGGTGTCCCCCCCACTGGTGTCCCCTCACTGGTGTCCCCTCACTGGTGTCCCCCCACTGGTGTCCCCCTCACTGGTGTCCCCCTCACTGGTGTCTCCCCTGGTGGCCCTGTGGTAGATCCCCTGATGCTCACTCACAGGTCCACACTCTCATACCTGAGTTAACACCAGAGGCTGGGTTGAGGCCCAGGGCTCCTGAGCTTCTGATTCAGGTGCTGGGGACTCCTGGGGTGACAATGGCACAGCCCCCAGGCTTACCAGGAAGTGTCCCATCTAAAGACTCACTGCTCCCTCACGGGATCCTGTGCTCTTGCTGTGGGCCGGAGTATGGGAGTTCGTGGACTCTACTAGAACTGAGTTGGTGGCTCAGGACTCTGGCTCCAGTTCGCCTTCTAACCCCACAATAGCAGCCGCGGGTGCACAGCGGGCACACAGGAGGTGCTCACAGAGGCCTCATCCGTCAAGGGCACAGCTCGACTACTCAGGGAGACCTCTTTGGTTTTGGTCTCCTAGAGGCAGAACAGCAGAGGCCTGATGGATCCACATCGGTCACCTCTACCTCTTCCTTTGTATTCCAGGCTCTGATGTCCCTCTTTGTCTTGGCCTCCAAGGACGGCTGGGTGAACATCATGTATAATGGATTGGATGCTGTTGCCGTGGACCAGCAGGTGGGCATGGCTTGGGCCACAGCTGATGAGGATGGCGGGGAAGGGACCTGAAGTCACCTCTGGCTCTTGGTCTCCTAGAACCACCAGGTTAGGTCTGGAGCTAGAGGAGGTGAGGAGGGTCAGTGGTGATGAGTAGACCTGTAAGTGTTCCTTTATCCTTGACTGCCTCTCTCCTCTTCCTAGTGATGGACTCCACTCACCATTCTGAGCTTGGCTGCTTCCTGCTCAGTTTTCTGCTTTGTTTATGGATAAGTGGGAGGATAAGTGCAGGCTGAGTGGATGGAAGGCTGGTGGATGGATGGATGGTAGATGTACGGATAGATGGATAAGTGGGTGGGCTGGTGAGTGGATGGGAGGATGGGTGAGTGGATAGTTGGATATGGATGTGGTGGGAAGGTAGATGAATAGATGGATGGATAGGTGCATAGATGAGTCTGTGAGTGGGTGATGGATAGATGGATGGATGAATGATAAATAGATAGATAAGTAGATGACAGATAGATAGATAGATAGATAGATAGAGGCCTAGGCAGTGGTGGCACACATCTTTAATTCCAGCACTCAGGAGGCAGATACAGGCAGATCTCTGAGTTTGTGGCTAGCCTAGACTACAGGGCAAATTTCAGGACAGCCAGAGCTACACAGAGAAAGCCACTTTTGAAAAACAAAACAAGCAAAACAAACAAACAAACAAAAAACCAAACCAACAACAACAAAAAGATGAATGAGTGGCTAGGTGGATGGATAGCAGATTGGGTTTATGGATGGAGAAATGTGTTTGTAGACAGATGGATGAGGGGGTGGGATGATGGGCAGATATAAATAGGTTGGATAGATAATCAGTGGATGAATGGATGAGTGGGTAGATGGGTAGGTAATGTAATGATGGATAGGATATATGGTGAATATGGATGGGTGAGTGGATAGATGGGTAGATGAGTGAGTGGGTAGATGAGTTGATAGGAAGGTGAGTGGGTAGATGGATAGTTGAGTGAGTGGGTAGGTGGGTGGGTGGATGAATGGAAGGGTAGGTGAGTGGGTAGGTGGGTGGGTGGGTGGATGAATGGATGGGTAGGTGAGTGGGTGGATGAATGGATGGGTAAGTGAGTGGGTGGGTGGGTGGATGGGTAAGTGAGTGGGTGGGTGGGTGGATGAATGGATGGGTAGGTGAGTGGGTGGATGAATGGAAGGGTAGGTAAGTGGGTGGGTGGATGAATGGATGGGTAGGTGAGTGGGTGGATGAATGGAAGGGTAGATGAGTGGGTAGGTGGGTGGGTGGGTGGATGAATGGAAGGGTAAGTGAGTGGGTGGGTGGGTGGATGAATGGATGGGTAGGTGAGTGGGTGGATGAATGGAAGGGTAGATGAGTGGGTAGGTGGGTGGGTGGGTGGATGAATGGAAGGGTAAGTGAGTGGGTGGGTGGGTGGATGAATGGATGGGTAGGTGAATGGGTGGATGAATGGATGAGTAAGTGAGTGGGTGGGTGGGTGGATGAATGGATGGGTAGGTGAGTGGGTGGATGAATGGAAGGGTAGGTAAGTGGGTGGGTGGATGAATGGATGGGTAGGTGAGTGGGTAGGTGGGTGGGTGGGTGGATGAATGGAAGGGTAAGTGAGTGGGTGGGTGGGTGGATGAATGGATGGGTAGGTGAGTGGGTGGATGAATGGAAGGGTAGATGAGTGGGTAGGTGAGTGGGTGGGTGGATGAATGGAAGGGTAAGTGAGTGGGTGGGTGGGTGGATGAATGGATGGGTAGGTGAGTGGGTAGGTGGATAGTTGAGTGAGTAGGTAGGTGGGTGGGTGATAGATGAGTTGGGTAGATGGTAGATGAATGCTTGTATGGGTGAATGTGTGGAAGGTCAATGTAAAGGCAGCAGACCAATGTATGCAGAAAGCAAGCACAGGAGCAGGGAAGGGGGACCATTTGCTGTCCTCCTTACTCACATCAGGCCCAGGCAGACATTTCCCATGCTGTGTTGTTTTCACCTTACTCTTTGGAGGCAAGCTGTCCTAGCTCCCCCGTCACACCGAGGCTTGGTGAAGTCAAGCGCGTCTGTGGCCTTGTGCAGATCAGCCTCCTCAGTCCTCATTCTGCCTCCCCTGCAGCCTGTGACCAACCACAACCCCTGGATGCTGCTGTACTTCATCTCCTTCCTGCTCATCGTCAGCTTCTTTGTGCTCAACATGTTCGTGGGCGTGGTGGTGGAGAACTTCCACAAGTGCCGGCAGCACCAGGAGGCCGAAGAGGCCCGGAGGCGCGAGGAGAAGCGGCTAAGGCGCCTAGAGAAGAAGCGCCGTAGTGAGCAGATGGTGGATGCTGGGATGGGCAGGGTCTCTCTACTCGCTGCGGTGCCTACTGGGCGGTGTCCTAGCGGGCACCTGATTGAGGCCTGTTGAGTCTTTGGAACTGGAAGGGAACAAAAGATTTAATCCATCTTCTGTCCATGGCCTGGCCCCTTTCCCTGGCATCTACTTGTGCAGGTGTCCTGAGGCCATCAGTAATGACACCGTTGTCTACCTGAGTGAAGCCCCAGGTTGTCCAGTGCAGGCAGAGACATAGGAGGCCTTTCCTGTGGGCATCCACTGAGTGGGAACTTTCAGAACACACCTCCCCTTATGTTCTCCCTCATACAAATTGTGTATAGTTTTGGGGACAGTCATCCACCCCTGGATAGCCAGCCTGAGGACCCTTGTCTCTGCCTATCAGACCTAGAGTCTTTATCATGGGCCTTTTGGGTATTTAGAAATAATGTGTGTCCTAACATCTCTGCTACCTGACCCCAGTATCGCCTGGTTTCCCTCTTGGTGGGTGCCCTGGCTGGTAGAGGAACACTAACTCTCATCTAGGACCCGGTATGAGCCAGCATGCTTCTCTCTTGCTTTCTCCCTCCTTTGTGCTCCTCTCTCTGCGTGGTCCAACCCTGTATGGTCTGTGCCGCTCTCCCATACTCCTTGCAGAGGCCCAGAGGCTGCCCTACTATGCCACCTACTGTCCCACAAGGCTGCTCATCCACTCCATGTGTACCAGCCACTACCTGGACATCTTCATCACCTTCATCATCTGCCTCAACGTGGTCACCATGTCTCTGGAGCACTACAACCAGCCTACAGTGAGTCTTGGGGTCACCATCTAGTCTAAGGTCTCATGGTAAGAACCAACCTTAACAGCATCTCACCTCAGGGACAGGGTTGGGTAGAGGGCCAGCTGACTGTGGCATCCATGATGTCCCTCCATGATATGCTTATGCCAGGCACTTGCGGGGAGGAGATGCTGGTGGAATTAGAAGTTTGAAAGAAAATGGCCATTCCTTCCAGGAGTGCGGGGGAGGTGGCATTGGTGAGCGGCCTAGAGCACAAGTGGTTACGGTGTGTTAATATGGACTATGCAGGGCATGGTGTGTGTTTTAATCCTCACAGTAATGTCAACGTTGGGAGAACCTTTGTCTGGGGTTTCCAGATGAAGAGGTTGAGCCTCAGAGAGTAGATAGCAGAGATAGAATTGGAACTTGGATTGTGTTCAAAGTCTACTGGGTCCTCCACTGCCCGCCCCCCCCCCCCCGTATCCTGGGTTTAGGGATTGACTTTCTGGGGGCAGGTCCATGGCAAGCATCCTTGGGGTCAAACAGCATTCCTGAGAAGAATTTAAGGGGAAGGAGCTTTCTAAAAGGCTCCTCTTGGCAGAGTTGGCAGGAAAAGTGGAGCCAAGTCTCCAAGTGAAGAATTAGCATCGTATTTTAGTGGACAGAGAAGACTGTTATGAAGTCAAAAGGAAGGGAACCATGGCAGAGTGAACAGTAATTATAGAATTTCCAAATTAATGTGAAGAAATGGGATTATTTCAGTTTACAATGACCAATCATTTGTCCTGTGCCCAGCACTGAATTGCTAGCTCATTTAATCATCATAGGAGCTTTCTGACAGGCAACTGGGATTATTTTCTAAATTTTTAATTGAAGAAACTAAGTGCCAGAGAGGTCAAGCACTTTCCCAGGTCACAGATTAAATAAGGAACAAGTGCTAAGCCAGTATTCAAATTTATGCAGTCTGGTTTGGGGATCCTTAGCCACTATCCCATACTGTCTTCAAAGAGAAGCAACTGGGTCAGGCCAACATAAATAATGAAATAACAATGTGAAATGAGTATTACACATAAAGACATAAGGGATGAATAGGAATATAAATAAATAAAAAGGAATAAAGGATTATATTAAATGTAAATAGACTAAACTCTCCACTTAAAAGACAGAGACTCTTTGGTTGTAGAAAAGTGCTGGGGCAGATAATAATCCTGGACCATGCTTCTCTTTTTCCCATAGTCCCTGGAGACAGCCCTCAAGTACTGCAACTACATGTTTACCACTGTCTTTGTGCTGGAGGCTGTGCTGAAGCTGGTGGCATTTGGCCTAAGGCGTTTCTTCAAGGACCGGTGAGTGGCTGAGCCATATTAAGGCAAAGCAGGGTCAGGAAGAAGTTCAGATCTTTGAAACAACCGGAAGGAGCCAGTAATATTTGGCTATTTATGGTCACGGACTCCTAGTTGCTGACTAGATCTCTGGACAGGAAGCAATTAAATCTCATTGGATGGATACAGGTTGTCTCAGTTCATCTCCTGTGGGCCTTCTGTAACCTGAAGATAGAGAATGGTCTGCCTCATACTAACTTTTCAGAGGAAGCAGCTGAGGCTCAGGGAGCTCAACAGACTGGTCAAATGCTACCTGAAGGCAGTTGAGGATATTTAGATATTTTAGGATTTAGACTTAGAAGTTAGAGTCCATGCCTCCTCCCTATAAAAGGACAGAGATGTTTCTTCAGCTCAAGCAACTCCCTGTTTAGGAAGGAAAAGAAGCACGTGTGTGTGGGGAGGCACACTCATTGGTACTACAGAGGATGGATAGAAGCAAGGGTATTCACACATTGTAGTAGGCCCCACAGGAGTGTGAAGTGCTGGGAGAAGACCCTGCACTCACCGGTGCCTGAGCCACTATGCTTTCCTCCCCATTCCCACTGCCCGGCTGTACAGATGGAACCAGCTGGACCTGGCCATTGTGCTACTGTCTGTCATGGGCATTACACTGGAGGAGATTGAGATCAATGCAGCTCTGCCCATCAACCCCACCATCATCCGTATCATGCGTGTTCTGCGCATCGCCCGGGGTAAGTAGGAGACAGGACAGGACAGAGACAAGCTGGGTCAGGAAGGGGACTCCCCATTGCCTAGGGGAGAGCATGTAGGAGTGGGGTGAGAGACAGAGCATGTGAGCAAGAAGGGCTCTCTGCTGAGTAGGGCAGAGCAGGATCCAAAAGGAGCCCCCATGTCACCCATATATGTGCACAGCCTCCTGCACACTGAGCCGCCCACCCCCATGCTTGTGTGCACCTCTGCTTCCTCGTGGTAAACATAATCTGTGTGGTCAAGTCTCAGGATGTACCACGAGGACTCAGTTCCAGGTTCGTGTGCTACCTGGCACTTCTCCAGCACCGTAGCAGGGCACAGCCCTCAACGTGTCCTGTAATCTTCTTTTTCTCCCTCAGAATCCCTTCTCTCCTCCCCAAATTTTCCCTACTTTTTCGAAATCCTATTGCCACAGTGATGGCTGGGTGCTTCTTGATCCTCTGCCCACCTCCTGCCTATTGCCTTCACGTTCTAAAGAGAGAGAGATGTGCAGAAACGCTGTGGGTGACACCAAAGTCCTTTTTAGCCTGAAGGGACAGGAAGGGATGTGGACCCTTGTGTCAGCCATCTTTGACATAGCAGTTACTGGCTCGTCCATCCACGCACCTGTGTGCCCCTCACTCTACTGTCCATGTTGTGGTCTTGAACTTCTCTGTACCCATTTTGTGTTCTGTTTTGTTCATAAACCCCTCACTCTGTAGCTGTAGCTTTTAAAAAATATTTTAAAACAAATTTTAAAATAGTTTTTAAAAACTATCTAAAAAATATTTATCTGTGTACTTTGTGTAAATGAGTATTTTGTCTACATATACATTTACACACCAGAAGAGGGCATTGGATTCCATGGGACTACATTATAGACAACTGTGAGCCACCATGTGGGTGCTGGGAATTGAACTCAGGACCTCTGGAAGAGCAACCAGTGCTCTGAACCACTAGGTCATCCCTCCAGACCCTGCAGCCATATTCCTGTGTGGTGCCCAAGAGGCACCTGTGTGGTGCCCTGGTCACATGCTGCCCTGTGTCCCTTCTCTTCCCCGAGTTCACACACTTGCATGTACACAATCGCGTGTACACACTCATAGCCTGAACTAACAGTCAGGGCTGAATGTCACCCGCAGTGTTGAAGCTGTTGAAGATGGCCACAGGAATGCGGGCCCTACTGGACACGGTGGTACAGGCTCTGCCCCAGGTAAGAGCCACACCCTCCTGGAACCCTGCCCTAAGATTGAGGGTTTGTGTGGGACTGGGCTTGGAGGGATGCGGGCTTTGATTTTCCTCCTCTCCAGTCCTGCCAAGACCCAGGGCAGAGTCTGCTCCCTGGTAAGTTATTTGAGCCTCTCCTGCTTCTCTTTGAGAACTCATAACATGGTTACCAGCATCTACTCCATGTCCAGCCTTATGAGGACTCTGAGGCTCTCTTCAGTACTTTTTAGGAGCCCCTAGGTTTGTGGGGGAGCTAGACACCTCAGGGTCTTATGGGAAGAGGCCTGTGTTCTGCTCCCAGGAGGGAGAAGACACAGGTTACTCCCTAGGAAATCAGGGAAGGTAACTTTGGATCTGGGCCTAGAAAAGTGGCTTTATGGGAAGATGTCATTTAATGGACAGTGAGGTCCCCACACAGGCTGAGTGAGAGGACCGTGTCCCTGTCCAGAGGAAGGTGAGCTGGGATCTGGCTCACAGAGCAGGGCATTTGTCTTCTCCCCGGTACTGGTGCTTGGGCAGCTATAGTCCCCGCCCACTGCGTGCATTCGTGCCGAGTGCCTGTGCTGAGCTGACCCTTGCACACGTAATGTACACATCACTCATTATGATGCACATAGGGAACTTTATGTCTTGAGAACCATTCTTGAGTTTGGTGTGAGCTTCCCAGTGTCACAGGTAAGCCCACCAGAGACCACCACAGGCACTCTTAATGCTGGAAATATAAAGTCCTTATTGCTGTCCAGCGATGCATGGGGAACTCGCCCAAATCGTGCAACCCTAAGCTCTTGTATTTTTGTTTTTGTGTTTTCAAGACAGGGTTTTTCTGTGTAACAGCCCTGTCTGTCCTGGAACTTGCTTTGCAGACCAGACTGGCCTCAAACTCACAGAGATCCGCCTGTCTCTGCTTCCTGAGAACTGGGATTAAAAGAGTTGCTACCTGGCAGCTCTTGGATTTTTATGCAAATAAAGTACATTCTGGTTGGCACACTTTAGTTAGCAAGAAGTGTAGCTCAGAAGAAAAAAGAAAGCAAGATTTGTGCAGTTAGAGACTTCCTTAGAGCTATGGATTGGGTCTTTGATGGATTAGGACTTTGCTCCCATGTTGGAGGTGCTGGGGCCTATGTGCTGGGTTTAAGGTCAGGATGGTGCCTATAACATGGTCTCAGTGTGCCAAGGTCTGGAAGCCTGTTACATTCCCTACTGGTTCTATGGGCATGAGACAAACTGGTGCCATCTTGGGGCAGGGGGTTGCTCTGTCCCCTTAGCGCTAAGAATTTAACAGGATTTATTCTCTGATTTATATAGTTGAGTAGACAGTTGAGCAAGCAGGGTCCTCCAGTGCAGACTAAGGACGACAGGATTGCTGGCCCAGCAATGGCCTTAAGTGGAGTGGTTATCCAGGGGACCAGAAGAACGAGGACTGATGCCAGTTGTCAGATCCTTGATGTCTTTTTCTCTTTCTTCAGTGTTATTTCTGACCATGGCTAAACTCTCTCTAATCACCCTGATTGGTTGGCACAGAAGCAGCAGTTTTCTCCTGGTGTCCTGTAGAGACCTCCTTGTTTTGGAGTACAACCTCCGCTAAGGAATCCACCTGAGTTTCCAGATGGGGATCAGAATTTCCCAAATGGTCTAGGTCTCACTCACTTGAGTGCTGAGTTCCTTAAAGTCTTTATTCCCTACAATTGAGGCTGAAGTTCCAGCTCCAGCGGAGCCTGTGATTGCATTCCTCCACCAATAGGGGAATGAAAATGTGGGTGGCTTGCCACGCACAGGGCAGCCCACTGTCTAGATTTAAGTCAGCCCTGCTCAGTTCTTCATCACAGATGAATACCTGTGGAATGGCACACATAAGGACTCAAGGAGTAGGGTCTCCTCCAGTGCAAACTGTTCAGAAGATACACACTTGGTTAAGCTGTTCATGCGTGCAAGCCAAGTAGTGGTTGGGGCCTAGAAATACACTTGCTTGCTGTTCTTGGAGTTAACTTACCGTGTATGGCTATAGGAATCTGCAAAGGAGGAGTTACCTAGGGAGCATCTTAATGCCATTGAGCAGTCTTTTCTTGGTGGTCTCCCAGGATGAGCTTAGGTTGGTCCCATTTACAGTTTTCAGGAATGGAAGTAGAGCATACTTTTTGACTAGTTCCTATCCCATACTACGGGGTTTGGGATGCAGAGGTAGCCAGCAGGCATCACCTGTCCTGTTGAGAATGGCTCGGGAACCAATACACTCCCTCTAGCATCCCAAACACTGAGGGGCTGGCTTCTGCTGCTTCCTGGACCTTTACCCTCCATGATCACTGAAGGAATTCCTGCGGCTATTGAAATTTTGGGGCTTGCCACCTTAGGGAGCTCATATTCCAGGGGTACCAATATGGGCCAGTTTGGGGCACATGGGCCAGATGACCCTAGGTGGAGGTTCTCTTTGGATAGTAAATTTGCTGCCTGGGTCTTGACCCCTCACATACAACCTGAGTCTGCGGGTTCTGCCAGTTTCCCAATAATGACCTTCAGTTTTCTGCCAGGCCCTAATCTTTATGGATATGGGACTGCATTGCCCAAGACTCATGAAATTACAGGCAGACCATGATGATTTTCTTTTTAGGACCATTAAAGGGTCAGTGTGCCCTTAGGAGGACTTGGGTCCACAACCCCACTGAGCACAATGGCATTCGCCTGGCTCTTGGCAGTTTGGGGGGCCGTCAGTAGAGCAGGCATAGTTGGGTAGATTGGAGCCCCATCTCCTCAAAAGTGGACCCACAGCCCCAGGAGCATACTTCTTTGCAGCCTGTTCTCCTAGTTGCCTCTGGATGTCTTATTTTACAGAAACCCACCCGGAAGGTGGGTTGATCTCAGTGTATATATCGACTGGCTGTCATCTCTCCAGTTCTGTTCTTTCTTAGTTCTCTCAAGCAAGGTCCTGGCTCTTGGGGATTTTGAGGATTTCCCACAGGGACACAAAGAAGACAAAATAGGACAATCTTAGTCTTAAGGCCCGTGCCAGTCTTATCTTTACTGGGTTGGAGAACATGGTGACAGCCCATCCATCTTTGTCCTCTGTAGTCTCAACTGGGTTTGGTGAAGTCATGGGACAACACTGGTAATCTTCACTGCTGTAGGAGTAGTGAGGACCACAGGGTGCAGGCCTTTCCATGTTGACTCCAGGCTCTGGGTCAGGATCCTCTTTACCCACACAAGGTCAACAGGCTGTCACTTGTTGGGAGGCTCAGATGTGAACAGGGTCATGGCCTCTTGAACCATCTGATGAATAGTCCTCTGGGCTTGTTGCAAGGCCTGGAAGGACTTGAGGAGGGAGTGGTTAGAAATTCCTACCTGATGAGCATCTCTTAGCTTAGGGAAGAGACATGGAGGCTTCTTAAACATAATTTCAAGTGGGGTGATATTCTCAATATGGGGTGCACTTGGCTTTTAGAAAGGCAAGTGGTAGGAGGTTGGCTTTTTTTTTTTTTTGCTTTTTTTTTTTTTTGACAGTCTCAAGGACATTTAGTTAAAGTTTCCTTCAAGGTCCCATTTTTATCTGACCTGAATTCTGTGGCCTATAGACACAATGTAGTTTCCAATCAACATTTAGGACCTTTGGTAGATTTTGGGAAAGTTTGGCCATAAAGGCCTGGACCCCAGGGAGAGGGGCAATCTGAATCTGAGTCAACTCTTGGGGGAGTTTCTTGGTGACCACTGGGGCCAACTCTGTTGTAATAATAAGAGCGGCGGGCTGCGTCCCCGGCACCCGGCCGCCCCCACGGCTAGCTTTACCCGAAATAATTACACAGAAACTGTATTCTTTTAAACACCGCTTGGCCCATTTCTATCTAGCCTCTTCTAGGCTAGCTCTCGCACCTGGACTAGCCCATTTCTAATAATCTGCTGTAGCCCACGAGCTGGCTTACCAGGAATGATCTTAACCTTCATCTGCCTGGAGTGGGAGAATCATGGCGACTCCCTGACTCAGCTTCTTTCTCCCAGCCTTCCGTTCTGTTTACTCCACCCACCTAAGGGTGGGCCTATCAAATGGGCCTAGCAGTTTCTTTATTGCTTAACCAATGAAATCAACAGATTGATATATGACACTCCCCCATCACAACTCTGTTCAGGTAGGGTAATTTTCTACTCATCTAGAGAAGGTGTCTATGAAAACTCGCAAATATTTATACCCATGAATTGTAGGTTTTATAAAGTCTGCTTTCCATGGTTCCCTGCTTCCTCAGGCATGGACTCCTTCTGGGCTTTCCTTCCTCCTTTGGGATTCATTTGTGTTTAAGTAATGCTTCTGGACACAGGGTCTTTGACAAAATTGTCTACTGGAAGGATGTTATATCCGGACCCGAGTAACTTAGCAGTTACTGACCCCGGCTACAGTTTTGGATGCCCCCAGGTGGGTTGCCTGGTAGAGTTTGGTGACCATTTGTCTCCTGATAGCATCAGGGAGTACAGGTCTCCTGTCTGGCAAGACCCACCATGCATTTGCCTCCCATTTGATATCTCCCATCTTGACCACTTAGTTTTTTCCTGTGCATAGTTTGGGCACTTGAGAAACGTGGGTTCTGTCAGGGTAACCAAGATCTGGAGAGGCCCTACTGGTTCCCTTGGGCCTTTAGGGAATTCTCTTTTTGATGCCTGTCACGTGGACAATGGCCACTTCGTTTTGGCAGCCATATGGCTTCTAGTAGAGCCAAGATTTTTTTGTTTTTTGTTTTTTTTTATTTCCTTTCCAGTCAAGGTGAGGAGTCCCCTTTCTTGATCGAGGGGTCCCATGGACAAGGACTGTGATTAATGATGGTTTTGTCCTTCCCCCAGTGTAGTTAATGCCAGAAGCTGAGCCCTTTGTGCCGAGGTCCCACACCATCCTGTCCAAGGTGACAACTGCCTCCCAGCATACGTGATTCTGTCTTGAACAAAACAGCTTCCATCAGGGTACATTACCTCTCCGGCTTCTCTCAGTGGGACATCTGGTAGGTCAGGTGTGGCAGATTGGATCTCCTCAGTCACTTCCAGGCAGTCATGGAGGGGCTCTGTTGGGTTATCATCTGGCAACAGGCTCGCAAGGCTGATGTCTTTTACAGAATCCCATATGGGGCTGGTCCAGAACTGCCTGATAGGGCATTATCGGAGTATCAGAATCCACTCATAGGGCATTATCGGGGTATCGGAATCCACCCTTTTGGGATTCCTCTTCAGCAAGACTTCTGCAGAGGAACAGGGTGGTTAGGAACAGTTCCTGGCCCAAGTTCAGCTTGTTGGCTTTTCACTAACACCCACCCCAGCTGTAGAGACAACTGCCCACAAAGTGGCCAACAGGCAGAAACAGGATCCAGTCTTTTGGATAGGTAGGCTGCTGACTTCTTCCAGGGTCCAAGTGCCTAGGCCTCATTCACATACAAATAGAAGGACTTAGAGACATCCACGAGGGCGAGGTTGGTGCAGAAATGAGGGTCTTCAAGGCCTCAGAAGCTCCTCATTCAGGATCAGTCCATTGTAGTGACTGGGTGCCACCACCGCGGTACTGGTATACAGTGGCTTAGGTACCTTCGAGATCTCGGGTATCCACAAGCGGCAGTACCTGACCTTTTCAGAAATTCCTGCACTTGTTTCTTTGTTTGAGGTGTGTGTGTGTGGGAATAGTAGGATTACCTAGATGTGGCTCTGGGAAAGTGCTCATTTGCCTCCTCCCAACTTGTACCCCCAGGAGGTGACCTGGGGTGGGCGCACATAATTGGGCCTTCTTGGCTAAGAGCCACTGTCCTAGGACCTTTATTGTCTCTATCAGGCCCCTACTGGCCTTCCTACATCTTTTCTGTTTCTGAGGCCATCAGGAGGTCATCCACATACTATAACAGGGTGCTCTTTGGAACCCTCTGCCAAAAAGTCAGGAGGTCTTCACTTAAGGCCTGATTGAAGAGTGTGGGAGAAGTTTTGAACCTTCAGGACAACCTAGTCCAGGTCAATTGGCTGTAATTGGCTGTAAAAACCCTCTCAGGATCAGTTCATTCAAAGGCAACAATGGATTGGCCTATAGGTGTCAAAATGAGGCAAAAGAAGGCATCTTTTAAGCCCAGAACGACACATCCTTGTTTTTCTGTTGGCAGGGGCACTCAGGAGGGTGTAGGGTCAGGAACCATGGGTTAGCCTGTATCCACCCTTTTGTTTATCTTTCTTTGGGATCCTTCATAGTTCTGTAGTCCCTAGTGCCTGGTTTTGAACCCAGAGCAGGGGAGTGTTCCAAGGGGAATGGCAGGGGATGAGGATCCCTGCTTTCTCTAGCCTGGCATTGAGTTTAACAACCCCGTTTGGTTTCCTGGTTCACAGGGTACTGTTTGATCGATACTGGGCAGTAGCACTTAGTAACTGGATGATAATTGGGGGTGGATGGCCAGTCCTGGTGGATTATCCTCAGTCCATACTCCAGGATACTGCTGCTACAAATTCTGCAGGTATCCCAAAGTTTGAGCATCATTTCTGCTCAAACTGGCGACCTGGACTGGGCTTTGAGAGATGAGGATGAGGGGGCGAAGAATCTCCCCTGCACCAGAACATGGCGCATAGAGACCCAGCCATCCATTTCCACATGGTTGGAATCAAGGAGCAGGGAGATCATCCTGGGAAGGGGGTGGGCGGGGGATGCCATAGCAGGTCTTCGGCTCTGAGACAAAACACATGGGGGCATTGTGCTGTGGACTCTGACCATAGGAGTATCTGGGCAAGGGGGCTTCAAGCAGAGCTGCCTCTGTGAGAGGACTGGAGGAAAGGCTGGAGGCAAGGAGGCAGATGAGGAGGCTGCTGGAGCTCTCAGACCCCGAGGGCCTGAGGGTGAAGGTAGGGGACTGAAGGGAATGATGAGGACCCGCTCCTGGTTAGGAAACACGGCCAGCCAAGTCCGAGCAGGGCAGAAGATGAGCTCTGCTGGTCTTGGTGAGACAGAGTCTTCCTTGGCTGTCAGGGCCACACACTGTGGCTTGCAGTGTCCACTAAGTGCTTGCGTCCTTAATGAGAAGGATGTTATTAATTAGTGTGTGCTCCTTGTGGAGTGGCTGGGAAGGAAGGCCTCCTCTAGAGCGGTCTGTGATCCACAGGGGTTTACTTTATAGTGATTACCTCAACCATTGCCTGGCTCAATTTACAGGAGCCTTTGGAGGACCAGGAGGGATTTTCTTTGTAGGGCAGCAATGCCTTTTGGCTCATCTGTAGCGTGAGGTAAAGGCAGTCTCCCACTGATGCGTGGGTTTGAACCAGGCTCGGAATCTGGGGCATTCTGTCCTGTAGGAGCCACGGGACAGGGGTGGCTACATTTGCAGGAGGCTCCTGGGACCACGGCTGTGTGTGATTTCTCTCCTAATTCCTTTTAGTGACCAGCCTTGTGCTGGCCTGTGGAGGCAAGTCTGACTTCATCTAGTTTTACCCAGGCTAACAAAGGACTTGAATCTCTGACCCATTACTTGAGATCCATGTGATTAAACAGGTCCTTCAGCTCTCAGTCTGTCTCATTTTCCCTTGAGATGACATGTAGATTCATTTGAGGGTGGGTGGATGGTGTATGTGTGTGTATACATGTGTGTGAGGGTGTAGCATCTAGTATCTTCTGTTATTTTCCTACCTTGCTTTCTTTCTTTTTTCTCATCCTTCCTTTCTTCCTCTTCTTTCTTTTTTTCTTCTCTTTATTTCTTTCCCTCCCTCCCTTCCTTCCTTCCTTCCTTCCTTCCTTCTTTCCCTCCTTCTTTTTCTTTCAAGGCAGGCTCTCTTCCTGAGCCTGGAGCTCATGAATACCTGGTCCATGAACCCCAGAGTCTCCTGCCAGTCTCTGTCATCAGCCGGGCAGATGCATACCGCTGTGCCCAGCTTCTGCATGGCTGCTGACTGCAGCCAGGTCCCCTTGCTTGCACACTTTACCCACTGAGTCATCCCTACTCCCTCATAAGTTTCTGGAACAAGTGATATTCTCACGGCAGACTTTAAACATTCACTTCTTGTTCGGTAACCTATGATTCATTAGTCTTGCCCTTCAGGAGGTTACAAGGAGACAGCAGACATGGATACTCAGCCCGGTATAACAAGACAGCTGCCCTGAGCCTGGCCCTGCCTCTGTCACCCTGATCTGAGGTCCTTCACCTCTACCCCTGCCTTCCTCCAGACCACTCCCTGTTCTCCCCGCAAGCCTCCCCCTAGGCCTCTGGTCCCAGTCCAGCCGTCTCTCTCCACAGGTGGGCAACCTGGGCCTCCTCTTCATGCTTCTCTTCTTCATCTATGCTGCCTTGGGAGTGGAGCTCTTTGGGAAGCTGGGTGAGTGATGCCTAGGCCTGGCTCCTCAGCCTGCCACCCAAGGCCCTTGTGTGGGGGAGATGCTTCAGTAGCAGGACTCTCATCAAACCCGATCTTAGCATGGGGTATTTGCTGAGGCCTGGCTCATGAGCGTTCATCAGACCTGTGTGGTGGAGTTCTGGACTCAAGCTGTCTGGTCTTCTGGGGAACCTCCTTCCTCTGCCCCCAGCCACTGCCTGTCCTGAACCAGGGCTACCCCAATAACTTAACTCAGTCCTGCATATAAAGTCAGTTCCAGAAATCAGGGCTCCCTGAGGAGCTGACCCTCACCTCACCTCTCTCAGGAGCTATTGGATAGAAAAGCCACATGCTCCTAAGACTGAGCCCCCAGCCAGCGCACCACTTCCTTGAGCCTCAGTTGCCCCATCCATAGGCTGGGCACAGTCCACATGCACATGGTTGCAGGGGATATTTTGAGAGGATGTTGAGGGCTGGCGGCTTGGGGTACTGTTGGTGGACAAGCTGACCACCTCTCCCTCTCAGTCTGCAACGATGAGAACCCGTGTGAGGGCATGAGCCGGCACGCTACCTTCGAGAACTTCGGCATGGCCTTCCTCACACTCTTCCAGGTCTCCACAGGCGATAACTGGAATGGAATCATGAAGGTATTCATGGGCCAGCTGGGGGGAAATCAGATAGTTTCAAGTTCCGGATGCATGGTGGTATGACTGATCCAGACATACCCAGTATGCACGCCCAGTATCCTACAGTACATAGGAAGTCAGGGTCCAGAGACGTCCCGGACCTCCCTGACTCCAGAGAAATGGAGTCCTGCTCAGGTTAGGCAGGACCTTCCTGGGCTGGCACCATGGGTGCCTGAGCAACCCCATGCTTCTTCTCAGATTTGCTAGGGGCTCTAAGAGGTGGGATCAGCCCCAGTAGGGCATGAAGAGGGCCAGGCTAGGGCCCTAGGGACTTGGCTGAAGCTAAGGGAAGCTCAGGCTACTATGGGCATGAAGGCGATGAAGGCTGCTAGAACTCTGGAGGGGGATTAATCTAGGCCCCTTGGTGTGCGTGCGTGCGTGTGTGCGTGTATGTGTGCGTGTGTGGGCATACATGCGTGTATGTGTGTGCGTGCGTGCGGGCATGCGTGTGTGTGTTTGTGTGCGTGTGTGGACATGCGTGCGTGTATGTGTGTGCGTGCATGCGGGCGTGTGTGTGTGTGTGTGTGCCTGAGCTCTGGTAGCCTTGTGGGTCCTCTGTGCATGGAGGTGGGGTGTGTGGCAGGGCAGGTGTGGTGGGTGGCATTGACCCTGCGTGTGGCATCCCTGTGGTAGGACACTCTGCGAGACTGCACCCATGATGAGCGCAGCTGCCTCAGCAGCCTGCAGTTCGTGTCGCCGCTGTACTTCGTGAGCTTTGTGCTCACGGCTCAGTTCGTGCTCATCAACGTGGTGGTAGCTGTGCTCATGAAACATCTGGATGATAGCAACAAGGAGGCCCAGGAGGACGCGGAGATGGATGCTGAAATTGAGCTGGAGATGGCCCATGGCCTGGGCCCTGGCCCCAGTCCCGGCCCGTGTCCCTGTCCTGGCCCGAGGCTGCCCACTAACTCACCAGGAGCCCCCGGTCGTGGATCAGGAGGGCCGGGCATTGGGGGTGACTCCGAGGGTCACCTGTGCCGGCACTGCTACTCTCCAGCACAGGTGGGCAAGGGCTGAGAGGTGAATGGGGCTCAAAGGGCAGGCGCCACGGGGCCAGCTGGGCAGCTGGGCTTGGAGGTGCCCTATCTTTTGGGGTCCCTCTGTGTTCAGCTCTAAGATAGGGCGATCCCAGGCTGTGGGCACAGAGAACGGGAGGGCAGCTCTGCCATACCCACCCCAAAGTCCAGGGACCCAGCCGATAATCCCACCTGTCCCCACCCTGCCCCGTCCGCCTAGGAGACCCTGTGGCTGGACAGCGTCTCTTTAATCATCAAGGACTCCTTGGAGGGGGAGCTGACCATCATTGACAACCTGTCTGGCTCCATCTTCCACCACTACTCCTCACCTGCTGGCTGTGACAAGTGTCACCATGACAAGCAAGAGGTACTGGCAGCCTCAGAGGAGCTGGCTCCCGGGAGTCACCTGGGAGTGAGGTGTTGAGGGACGTTGTGGCTCTAGGCCCCTAGCAACATGCTGGTCCCACTGGTCATAGTGGTTTGTCTGTGAAGTGTGGCCCTGTGGTGTCGCCTAGAGAGCCCACCTCAGCACCTGGATATAAAAAGTGTTCAGAAGCTGCTCGTCCTTGTGTCCCGTCTGGGGCATTTTGTCCTTTGTGACCCACGAAAGGGTCCCTGGTGCCTCTTCTTCCCTAGTGACTGTGGTCCCCCTGAGTGTCTCAATACTTCTCTTGGGCCTCCTCTCAGAGGCAGCTCATCCCCACCCTGCTCAGGGGCCATCTCCCAGGCTATTCCCAAGAGCTCCTCCTATATACCCCGTCCTCCACATGGTGCTCCTGGGCTCAGCCCATGCTGTTCTATAGGATCAGTGGCTGTGAGGTCATCCCCAAGAGCCTTGGGCAGGAGCTGAACATGGAGGTTACTCAACTTTCCTGCCCCATGACTGAAACAGATTCCTCAGTCTAGCAAGTCTTGCAGGGACATGCAGTACAAGTAGCCCTCACAGCCCTCAGAGAAGCCACGCCCAGCCCAGCTCTAAGGACTCTTGGTCTGGGGCAAGTGGACAACAGAGCTCCGTAGCTCGCTGTACCGTGTCTTCTTTTGTGTTCAGACACCAAGGTGGGCCACTCAGACCTGGTTTCCATTGGGAGTGGCCCCTGTGCCATCATGTGTCCCCCAGGCTGGGATCCTACACAGAGTGTGCCCACCATCCATGCCCAGCAGGCCTGCGAACCACTCTGACCACTGCCCCATGTCCTTTCAGGGACCTGTTGCTCAGCGCTCCAGGCCCAGGCTGCCCCATCCCAGCCCCAGGGTGACCCGAGGCCACCACCTCCCCCTGCAGGTGCAGCTGGCTGAGACAGAGGCCTTCTCCCTGAACTCAGACAGGTCCTCGTCCATCCTGCTGGGGGATGACCTGAGTCTTGAGGACCCCACAGCCTGCCCACAGGGCCCTAAGGAGAGTAAGGTAAGTGGCCAGGAGTTCCTCACATTTTCCTCCATGTGCGATGCCAGCTTATCCAGCCAGGTTGGGCTCAGGTGGACACAGTCTAGGTAACTGAGGCCACATCTTCTGTCAGACACAGAAGCAAGTTGCAGGTTGAGATAGCGTGAGCCCATCCGCCTCAGAGTGGACACTGGGTGGCTCTCAAGGAACTTGCAAAGCTGAGAAAGTCAGCAAAGAGACGCTACAACCCTCTGCTCCATGTACAAGACCCCGGGCAGCAGCCAAAGATGAACTCCTCTCCCTAAGTATGAATGTGGAAACTGAGTTCTGGCAAAGGCAGGGGTTCACGTAATGTTCTACTCTGATGTCTTCAGCCCGAGCGACCACTACATTGAGTTAGCATTTGGTTATAGGCGTGAAGAAGAGCCTGTGCTGTCTCAAGGCTATTAGAGTCAGGAAGGGAGGAGCCAGGGGAACCACAGCTGCCCAGGAGCATCCAAGAGGGCTTCCTAGAGGTCAGGACCTTTCACTCACTTGAGGACTGGAAGGTGGTGACTGCTGGTCAGGTGGAGAAGGCGAGAGGAAGGGCTTCCGAGGTAGGGATGGGGATAGCTATGCAGGAACCCTGCCTCTGTCTCCCTCAATACCACCTACCTCCCTTGCCTGCAGGGTGAGCTAGAGCCTCCGGAGGAGCCCTTGCAGGCAGGAGATCTGGATGAATGCTTTTTCCCCTTTGCCAGTGCGCCAGTGTCTGCAGGCCCAGAGAGCCTGCAGTGCGAGATGGAGGCCATCCCGTTCAATCCCGTCCAGTCCTGGCTCAAACACGAGAGCAGCCAAGGTGAGGGTTTCAGCCTTGCCAGCTCCCCACACCCTGATCCTAAGCATCTGCTGCATGAGGGAGGCGGTGGAGGTTCCCCCCACCATAAAGAAGCAAGTGGGGTTCTGAGAATTAGAGACTCAGGCCTGCTACACTGGTAGTAAAGCAGCAGTCGATGAGCGAATGCTAGCTGAAGCCTGGCCTTAAGGAAGCGACACGCTGAGCTTCCTGTGTTCAGTGATGAAAAGGGAGCCAGGTTGCCGCCCACAGCTTTTATTATCAAGCAGAAGGAAGGCTTACAGATTATTGAGGTGGAATAGAGATTAATCTGAGGGGGACACAGTGACCGGAAGACTGGTGTTTTCAATGGCCCTTTGATAAAGAACTCTACCCCAAACCTCCTTTCATAGCTGGTTTGTGTCTTGGGATATAGCAAGGGACTGAGCTGGCTTGCCTGTCACTTGTGCTCCCTCTTGGAAGATGACAAGAATCTGGGTGGCATCACTGGTTGGGTGGGGGGAAAGGGAGACAGTCTAACACAAGAGTGACCCCTCAGACCCCAAACTCACCCCAAGATGTCTTCTGGGATGTCTGGGTGACCGGCTTTTCCATGGACCCTCTGTAAAGCCAGTGACTTCTACTGGGCATGATGGCTGGGGTGCCAGGACCCCAAATTTCCTGATCTCAAAACCTGAGCCCTGGGTCTGCCCCCAGGCTTGTTCTGATGGAGTGTTCAATTAGCTGTTTAAGGAATGAGCATTCCTTCAGTAAGTCGGCAACCTACCAGGACACAGCCTATACGGCTGCCTGGTAACTAGTCACATATTCTGAACCCCGCATTCTTCCTTCATTTTGTGAGGTTCAAAGGGGACCGTAGGCAGAGGTGCTGGCACTGGCATACAAACGTCTGGCCTGCCTCAGGCTCTTCCAACCTGGCCTTGTCCCTTTCTATCCACAGTGGAGCAGACCAGGCCCACCCAGCAGCTTCTATACCATCAGCACAGGGCCTGGCATAGACCTGAGACTCGACCCTGCATTGTCCAGGAGGAGGCCCCAGGCCTGACTTAGCCATGTGGAGTTGTCAGGGCCCAAAGGATAATGAGTTTTAGTGATTGAATACCTACTATGTGCATGGTGCTGGGCCAGGTGTTCCATACCTGCTGATATTCCCCACGTCCCTCCTCTTGTGTCTGTTCTCACTGCTGTGACCAGGTGCCTGGTGAAATCAACTTAAGGAAGTGCTTATTTTGGCCCATAGTTCAAGGGTCCAGTCCATCATGGCGGGGAAGGCATGACAGCAGGAACAGGCAGCAGGTCACATGGCTTCCACAGGCAGGAAGCAGAGCGAGAGATGGATGCTGGTGCTCAGCTCACTTTCTCCCTGGCGTTCATCCCAGGACCCCAGCCTGTGGGATGGCACCACCCGCAGTGAGGGTGGGTCTTGTCGCCTCAACCCAATCTAGACACTTCTTCACAGACATGCTCAGAGTGAAACCGAGGCTTTGAGTTGGAGACTTGCCCAGAGTCTTCTCACAGCCGTTGTTGAGATGCTCACGTGAGAGCTGGTGCTCTGTGCCTGCCTCCTGGGTCGTTCCTAGCACCTCCTCTCCCTTCCCTGCAGCACCGAGTCCCTTCTCCCCAGATGCCTCCAGCCCTCTCCTGCAGATGCCTGCTGAGTTCTTCCACCCTGCTGTGTCTGCCAGCCAGAAGGGACAGGAACCGGGCATGAGTGCAGGGACCCTGCCCAAGATCGCCCTTCAGGGCTCCTGGGCATCCCTGAGGTCTCCGAGTGTCAATTGCACCCTCTTGCGTCAGGTACAAGCACCTCCTGGACTCTGAAGAGCCACGGGTGATACGTGGGGAGGGGAAGGAAAAGAACAGAAAAAAGCCACGACAGCTGAGTCTGGGAAAGTTGGGGAACCTCTGAGACTTGAGAGGTGACACCAAAGATGCGTATGAGTAAGACCAGCTCCTGAGGATCCCCAAGGTTGTCGAGATGACTGAAACAGGGGTCCTAGCTCGAGATGAGGGAAAGAAAAGCATTGAGGAGGCTTTGTGGGGTGACACAGTACTGGGGTCAGGGACCATGCCTTGAGTGCTCTTGGTGGGTGGTAGGGGTATCATTGCTAGACTGCTTGTAGACTGTAAATTGCTTGACTGCAGACGGGCAGGTTGGGAAGTGGGAAGTCTTGGCTGTATGGTCGTCTGTATCAGATGGTTGGAGCCACAGCCCACATGCCAGCTGGGCACAGAGGGCCTTTGGAGCACGAAACAACAATCCACCAGCACATTTGGTGGGCCATGTGTGGGCCCATACAACAGTAGAGGTTGGCCTGCAGGCTTCCTAATAATCGCTTAGTAAGACACAGTTAATCTCCAGTTTTACCAGGCTGTGCTCTGCAGCAGGCAATGGACCGACTTCTTGCCTCCCAAGCAGTTCGGGGTTTAAAGTGTGTGTGTGTGTGTGTGTGTGTTGCAGAAGGAGAGGTGTCAAAGCAAATGAATGCTGGGAGTATAATCTGTGGGGAGGTGAGGGGTGGCTGGGAGAGTGAGCAAAGGCTGGAGGCTTACCTAGGAGAGAGGATGGAGCAGGGCCATGGGGGAGCTGGTAGAAGGGCTTGTGAAGAAGGGACAGGTGGCGGAAGTGATGCTGGAGATGTGGGTGGCTGCGAGTCAGCTGGGAACTATACCAGGGAAGGTCTTGTCATTAGACACTGGGACTAGGAAAGATGGCCCAGGCTGCCCCGAGGGGACAGAGAGCCTGTTTGACATTCGCTGTAACTGCCGAGAGGTCCCAGGGACTGGTGACACAGCAGAAGGGATGCTGTGGGATCCTGGATATGTTGAGAAGGGAAGCATCCTGGGTCCCCATCATCAGACTGTCCACTAAGGACCAGGAGAAGATGATTCAGGGAGCCTCATCCCTTCTTACCTCCTTGCAGGCTACTGTGAGTGACACATCACTGGATGCCAGCCCTAGCAGCTCAGCGGGCAGCCTGCAGACCACATTGGAGGACAGTCTGACACTGAGTGACAGTCCCCGGCATGCTCTGGGACCGCCGGTCCAGGTGCCAGGGCCATGTGCTGGCCTGTCACCGGCCACCCGGCGCCGCCTCAGCCTAAGGGGCCGTGGCTTGTTTAGTCTGCGTGGGTTGAGAGCCCATCAGCGCAGCCACAGCAGCGGGGGCTCCACCAGTCCTGGGTGCACCCACCACGACTCCATGGACCCCTCTGATGAGGAGGGCCGCGGGGGTGCAAGCGGTGGGGGTGCAGGCAGTGAGCACTCCGAGACCCTCAGCAGCCTATCGCTCACGTCTCTCTTCTGTCCACCACCCACGCTGCCACCCCCGGGCCTCACCCCCGCCAGGAAGTTCAGCAGTACCAGCAGCCTCGCTGCTGGACCTGGCCGTCCTGGCACCACAGTCTCAGCCCGCGGCCTGGCCAGGAGCCCATCATGGGCTGCAGACCGCAGCAAGGACCCACCAGGTCAGGCCCCGCTGGCCTCAGGCTTGGGTTCCTCAGCACCTGAGCCACAGCCACCTCCTGGGGAGCTGGAGTCAACCGATGCTGCAAGCAAGAGGAAAAGATGAGGGGCCGCAGGGGCTGCGGGGGACCTGCCAGCTGCTGTCCGCCCGCCTGCCCCATCTTGCCTTCTTTTACCTCAGGAGCCAGGGAGCAGACAGCAATACTTTGTCCACACCTGGGAGTGGCATAGGGGCCAGCCAGCGCCGGGCCACTGGGCAGGCGACTGAGGAGGGTCTGGGTTAGCTGAGGCTCAGATGTGCGGCCCCATCCGTGGCCCTTCCAGTGTATATGCAGATATATACATATATATATATAGAGACAGACATATATTTATTTATTTTTTTTACGGAGAGCTTATGAATTCCAGAAAGTGCTAAAGTTGAGGGTGCAGGCCAGGGCCCAGACGGTGGTCTCGTCTGTTGATTAGGACACAGGCCTGCACAGCACAGATGCTCCTGCTGTGGCTTCGGTGGCTGTAGTTTCGGGTATCTCCCTCAGTTGAGAGCAGCTTGGGAGGACGTTCAGGGCCCAGGAGACAGAAGAGAAGCAATTCAGGGTGCACTTTTTTTCCCTTTTAAAGAGGAGACGCTGCTAAGATCCCCAGCCTCTACCCACATGTCGGGGTTGTCAGTCTTGTCCCTCTGACTGTCGTATTGTTGTGAAGTCTTTTGTAGACACTCTTGACACACAGACTTTCTTAGTTAGCCAGTTAGATGTTCTCTTTAGAAAAACTGGGGGTGGGGTGGGATTTTAGTCTTATTTCTTAGAGCAGGGTTGGGGAACCGGGCATTTCTGAAGCTGGGCAGGGGGCTCAGGATTTGGGTCAAGTTTTGACCTCTGTGAGTACTTGGCGGCGGGGGGGGGGGGGGGGGGGGGGATCAGCCCCTCAGGAAGGCAGCAAACAGGAATAATTCATACAAGAGAGAGGACAGGTGAAGGGGTCCTCGGACCGGCTTGGTCCACACAGATTCCCCGAGCTTGGGTTGTCAGTTACACGAGAACTTTCTATTTTTTGTCCTCCATGAAGGCCTCAAATTGCAGCAGTTCCTGGGGATTATGGTCACCCACCCTAATCAACCCCACCCCTGCCCCAGGAGTGTTTAGGGTAGCTACAAATCTAAAGGGGTCTCTGAGCACCTGCCTAAAGCCTGGCTCCAGCCTTTCCCCACCCCAGCACCCTTAGCTCCACCGAGTTACCCGGACATTCACATCCTCCAACTCCTGCTTACCCTTGGGTATGTCTCACTGTTTCAAACTGCACGTCGGGTCTCCTGTGGTAGCGCTTTCCGGAGGAGTTCAGGATGGGTAGGTTTTTTTTTTTTTTTTTTTTTTTATTGGAATGGTTACCCATTTATTTTAAAAAACTTACTCTGTATTGAGCCCTTGACTTTCACAGGCTCAGCTCTTAAGTGGGTGGGTTTACAATCAGCCTGAAGAAGGGCGGGGCCCGCTGCTGTGGGTGGCCTACTGACAAGGGTGGTGATGTGGGGTGCTCAGCCACATCACTGAGGGTTGCCGTGGGTACTGCTAAGAGCATGTGCATCTCTTGTCCCTGCTCCCAGATTCTGACTTCACAGAAGTGGGCTTCTAGCCAGGCTAGTGAGCAGCAGCTGTGTTTGTAGGCTCTGGGGTGTCCCCATCTGGCACAGGGACCCTGGGATCAGGGCGCTGTGAGGAAGCGAAGAGGAGAGGATTGTTGAGGGGTACTGCCTGCCAAGTGCTTAGAGGCGAGGAGGAGGAAAGTGGTTGTTAAACTCACTTTACACATGGGTAAACTGAGGCTCTGGGTGAGTGCAGCAAAGATCCCGGGTCACCTGTGAAGGGCACTAGCCCGAACACTTGGACTGTGCACACACAGCCGTGGTTGAAGGGAAGGTGACTCCAGGAGCCCAGTGTGGAGTTGACTTGGTTAGAGAGGGCTGGGTCAGGCCCATGGTCTTCAGGCTTTACAATGGTGGTGTTTGATAGCATCTTCCACCTTCTGCTTTCTGGGTACAATGTCAATCATCTAGCTCCATCTTCAGGCTGCCTCTGTGTGTGTGTGCTTATGCGGCTCTTCACAGCCAGCTTTCTCCCTGCCGTGCCTCTGAGGCTGGGTGCAGATGTTCAGGCATCTATACCTTCACGCTGAACTGTGTGACCCCAGAGCAGGCAGATGTGTTGAAGGCTGTTTTAGGGAAATGACAATGTTTAAGCAAGGGCTGTAGCTAGCTAGGTACGGCAGGGCATCTAGAGAGAATGATTTGCTGAGCCCAGAAGCACAGACACTACCTGGGGTGGGTTTTTCCTAGGACCAATCCCAGGTATCTGGCCTTGTGTCTGTGAGTGGGGAGTCAGGGGCCAGGAAAGGTGTGAGCTGCTGGCAAGATGGGTTGTAATGGGCAAGGATTGGGCGGGCGCCCCTTCTTCAACACTGTGGCTCGAGACTGCGGCCTCAGGCTAACCCTGTCCATCACCAAAGCACAAACTCTCCCAATCCACATGGGCCTGGATGTGAGGAGAATGGGAACGCAGGTGCCAGTGCCCGGAAGCTGTCAATTCGCCAGGCTGTGTGGTGCGGGGGTGGAGGGCACACAGCATCTGTAGAGAAGGATCTGGAGCCAGACGGAGCCTGCCCTGCCTTCTTGCTATCTCCTGCTCTGGTCCAGGTAGTCCCTCTGAGGAGGATGAACCGTGAGCAGTACTCACCCATCTGCTTGTCCCCAATATTTCTCCTAGAGCTCACAGCTCCCAGGGTCACCTCCAGCCCCTTTTGCTACTCTGTGTAAGGGCTTGGGGTCTTAGAAGCTGCTGTTTAACCCAGACACACATACTCTTCTTTCCTTTTTCTTTTTGTCGTTGTGCAATAATCAGTGTCCCTAGTAGAGTTGGGGCCTGAGGGGAGGCAGAGGCCACCTCGTCCTGCAAGCCCCCAGCCCAGCTCTGCTGCTCTGACTCTAACTTCCGGTCACTGTACAGTTTCTACAGTGTGAATGAACTTCCCTCTTAGTTGCTGAAGGCGCTGGTCCCTGCTGGCCCAGATGGCCCGGGCATAGAGAAACCAAGCCGTACCGCCAGCCAGCGTTGTTTTGAATAAAACCCCAGAAACTTACTGAGGACTTTCTCCATGTCTCTACTCTTCCTTCCCTGCAGGGTTGGGATCATGCTGGTCCTCCGCCTCCCCGACCCCACCAAGGGAAGCGTGATAATGTCTTCATCCTGCAGCTGTGGGGTCTGGGTTTTGGGGGAATTCAGAGACCCCGTGGAAGGATCCCCTTGTATTCAGGGTCTGGGTGGAGCTTCAGGGCTGGGAATGAGGCGGGGAGAGGTCAAGCTGCTTACCCTCGACACTACAGCCTGAATTCATAGAACTGGTACTACAAGGGCTCATGGCTACAAAGCACAAAAACCCAACTCAAACGGGCTTAGAAGCAAAAGATGGGGGCTGGAGCGACGGCTCAGAGGGAAGGAGTGCCTGCTGCTTGTCTTGGTCCCTGTCCTATTGCTGTGACCATGGCAACTCTTACAAAGGAGAAGGTTTAGCTAGGGCTGGCTTACAGTTCAGAGGGTTAGCTCATTGTTTTCATGGTGGGTAGCCTGGCAGCATGCAGGCAGACATGGTGCTGGAAAAGGAGCTGAGAGCTCTACATCTGGATATTCAGGCAGCAGGAAAAGAGAGTGACCCTGGGCCTGGTTTGGGGCTTTTGAAACCCCAAAGCCCACCCCCAGTGACACACTTCCTCCCATAAGACCACAGCCCCTAATCATTCTCAGGCATCTCCCTGATGATCAGGCATTCAAATACATGAGCCTATGGGCGTCATTCTTACTTGGACCACAACACTGCTCTTGCAGAAGTCTGCGGTTCAGTTCCCAGCATGCAAGTCATGTGGCTCACTGCTGCGCACTGCGTCCGTCCCTCCCCCTACCCCCTGTCTGCGCTCTATGCGCTAGACCCCAGTTCGCGAGCTTTGGGCAAGGGGCTGGAGGTTGAGAACACAGACCTTTTAACACTGGTACCAAAGCCCCTCTTTATTAGCACCATGTAGGCTTAAATACACTGCAGTCATTGGCCAACAGGTGAAAATCCCATCTTCTGATCCTCTAAGCTAGGCACAGCTTCTAGTAACTTTAATTAGAAGGTTCTAGGAGGGAAGAGCAGCTGAAGGCCAGGACTCATTAGTCCCAACAGCTCACAACTGCCTATGACTCCAGTTCCAGGGGATCCACCACCTCCTTCTGGCCTGTGTAGGTTCCTGCATGCTTGTGGTGCACAGAAACTCATGCAGTCGCACATGCGTACACATGAAAAAACCTTTAAGAAGAATAAAAGAGCAGAAGAAAAGAGAAGCAAGAAGGACACAGATGGAAATAACTTAGTGGTTCAAAGTTTTAAGAATTCCAGATGTAGTGTTGGCTTCAGGCGTTGCTGGATCAAAGGCTCTGGTCAAGTCTCTAGGACGCAGTCTTTCTGCCTCTTGACTTTGCTGTTTCTGTGTTTGTTTCTTTCTCTCTGAGGCCTTGGGCTGTCCCCCCACTCCCCGCCCTGCTCCACCAAGGCCCCCTACCTACCTGGCCTGTCACAGCCCTGAAACAATACCCTGGCTCCTTTCTTCCTTGTCCCCTGCTGCCCTTCTTCCAGCTCTTCTCTCTTGGTAGCCCTCTCTGCCCCTTGAGTTCCGTGTTCCAGACATCAGGGAGACCTCTTAGAGTGAGTGCCGTGCTTTCTGATTCTTGGCTGTCTGATTTGTGTGGGTGCTACCATGTTACAATAGCATTCTAGTGTTGGGGATTCACTCCCAAGGTTTTCTCCTCTGTTTGTTTCTGAGCCCTGGAGGGTAGCTCTGGGCTGGGTCAGGTGAGAGTCATAGATGGAGTCTGTATGGGTGGATGGATGGATGATGGATGAAGGAAGGAAGAACAAGCAGGGATAAGGGATGTGGCTGCCTGGCTTGGGGCATGGTAGTGGCACCATACCTAGGTTTAGGGCCAGTACTTGAGGTAGCAATGGCAGTGTGGATGAGGGGAGACTGAGGAACTGGCTAGTTAAAGCAGAACAGTGGCTGGGTTGAGTGGACAGTAGACCTGTAGGAGAGCCTGCTGTAACTTCTTTTGTTGAGGTCCCAGAGTGGGGTCGGGGACAGAGAGGATCACTGTGTCACTGGCCACACTTCCTCCACCCGCCCCCTCCCATGCTCCTTTTGGCTCCATATCATCTCCAGGCCTCCACTATTGCCTTGGCAGCTCCAGCTCTGCCTGCTCCCTCCCTCTGCAGGTGGCAGGTGCGGAAAGGCAGCTACGAGCGCAGGGCCAGCCCACTGAGCTGCCAGGGCGATAACACACTCCATGTCTTCCATTACACGTTTACTGGCCAGTGGGCAGCAAAGGGACAGTGGGAGGCCCCAGCAGGTCCTGCCTCGGCTGCATCCACCCCTGCAAGGAGACTGACTGGCAGGGGAGTGTGACTCCACCCGCTGTGGCAGAGGTGAGCAGCCTAGGAAGGTCTAGCACCTGGCTGAGTGTCCACTTCACCTTGTCCCAACTCTGTGTCCCTGCCTACCCATTAGCAATGAGATTAGAAGCCAGTAGCTACCAAGGAGAGATTGGACTAAGTCGACGCTCCAAGAGCGTTTTCGGTGAGTGACAAACTTCAGCTCTCAGCACTTTTTATTTAGACCCGCATTCACAAATTCTAACCAAATAAACACAGGCGTGTTAGGTATTAATATATGTACCATTATGCAAAACCAGCATTATGGCTGTAATGAAAATTAGATTCTGTCTCGGTGGTGGTGTTCCAGGAGGGCAGACATCCTCTGGTTTACAGCATTGTGACCTCTGGTTGCTATTGCCATGGTAACCATGCTG